CCAATTTATAAATTGTTAATTTTTTTTTGGTCGATAAAATGCAGTACGGCAACAAAAAGGTCCCTTTGCATATAACTATTAAGAAATCATATAACCATCGGGCTATAAGCTTAGTTTTAACTAGTTAAAACATGTAAAGAAGATTGTTTAAAAACTACTCGTAAATCTTGAATCTTCACTTATTTTCTATACTAATATGACCTTATAGCGAGGACCATAAGGTATTATTTATTTTTCTATAAAATACTATGATTACTGTACAATATAAATAATATATAGTAATTTAGTAAAACAAAATTTAGTAAATAAATAAAGCATGCCAACAAAACGTGGTAAATGTTTTAGAATTTGTAATGCCTGTATTTATTTGTAATCATGTTTTAAAGCAACTTTTCTCACTATTAAAATATATCTTAGTCGCGAATATTGTAAAGACCGTTCAAACGAAATTGACAAAAAAGCCGAATTTAGAAAGTCAAACGACTTGCTCTTGGCATTTAAGATGAGAAATGGGCAGCATTGCCGTTGCGACAGAGGCATTAAGATTGTGGCCGCATTATGCTTATGCACTGAAATACTGAATATTCATTGTAGCAACGCGCACTATAAGCTGGAGCTCTTTAATCAACTCTCCTTTTGCTAGCGTACAATCTCCGCCGCTAATGGCAAGTACGACAGCTGCAATACGGTTTCAAAACAATTATTCCAAACTAGTTTTATTTGTGACGTAGCGCGACAGCGCCTATTATAATATTGTTTGTAGTTTTTTTAACAAAGTAATTTCTGCTAAGCTGAGTTTTCTGTAACTTAGTATTTTAGTACTTTAGTAGTTATTTCTCCAAATAAATTGTTTGCGATGGGCGGAAACAAACATGATGCCAGTAAAAGCTAATAAAGCCTGCGTATCTAAGAGTCAAATTACTCGAAAAATTGCTTTGGGGAACTCTGTGGTGGGTTTATTGAAAAAAGGTCGACTTGATTGATATCGAACTTTACACGTTGAAAATGTAGCAGTTTCGGTTTTTCCATTTGGAGCAAAAAAAGATTGACTCCATTTGTTCCTGTCCGCTGCGCAATAAACTCGCCGGGGGATGTTTTTAACTAAGGATTTATCTTTTGGGGAGTCGGTAATCGACCTAATTCCGCCTAACGAATTTAGAATTTCAGACTTAAAATGTTGATTTACAAGCGGCAATGATAAAAGAATTCTTTTTTATTTCTTTCAATAATATAATAATTAAATTATTAAATATAGGTATAGCGTCTCAAGAGACGTCTAGACGTGGTCGACCTATTTCCAATTTAGCGTTTCAATTCTGTGCGCGATGTTCGTAATTCGTAAATTACTAATAACCTTGTTTTTAGCGATTGTAGGATCGATGCGTATTCTGCATACGTTCAAAGGTAGCCACCATTTATTATCTCTTATATAACAATTTTATCCATTCGGATTTTAACTGTTCGTCATTTACAAAATTTTAAATTGAGTTATTTATAAATTGAGAATTTATTCATAATAATGCTTATCAGAACTGTTAAGACAATGTTGTCTAGAAATCGAAAGCGTGTATTATATTTACTGTTGATGCTTGTCCGTTTCAGAGAAGGCCTCCAATATAGTTTTGTTTTCATAAACAGGCTTATCCCGCGATGCAATTATATTGGCCTTGTCCTTTGGCCTCGTACTTGGATGATTAGCGTTGCCGTCATCATTGTTATTATGTGAACAATTAAAATATATTAATATGAATTTTTAATTATTACAGACTAAGGGACGTAAATACTTAATGTTTAAATATTAATATTGTAAACTTTCGTATTTTTGTATTTTTTTCATATAACGGTGATCCAGATTATTGCGTTCAAATGAAATGTCATACGCACAACTGGAAGCGTCATGAGAGAGCTCACCGTGATAGATGATATTCAAGAACAATTAATCTTGGCCCAAAATATGCGGACGATTTGCAAGGTTGGTCGGGCCTAATGGCTGTAGGAATTTCACGGGGCCGTATACACAGCACAACTTTACGTTATTATTACAGATATATAGATAAATAGAAAAGAAATAAGCTTATAAAACTTGGCATAATTTAGAGTGACATGTAACTTTTCTTTTTATGTCAAACTATTCTCTATTTTTATTTACAAGAAGAAAAGCTAACTCCAATATTTTACAACAAGTTTCGTAACAAACAAGTAGTGAAGGAAAACAAAAATACTTTTAAATACTAATAGGTATATAAAACATTTCTTATATTATACAAAGCGCCTGGAAGAGCTATTGGGCCACGAAAGAACAAATGAAGGGTAATCTTCCTTTATCCCTTAAGAGAAAAGTCATGGACGTGTGGATTCTCCCCATTCTCACATATGGTTCCCAAACCTGCCTCCAACAGGTCAACAAAGATATACACTCGAGGTTTGCTAAAGAGGAATGGAACGGAGTATAGTAACGGAATTAATATAACTGACCGTATCAAGAATACCATAATCCGTTTCAGAACTCAAATTACGGATGTCACTCGGAAAGCTACCATGCTGAAATGGGACTGGGCTGGTCACGTCATCCGGATATCAGATAACCTTTGGGCCAAGAAAACAAACTTTTTGGATCCCCCAACACACCAGACGATAGCGTGGTAGGCTCAGACGGAGATGGCGGGATGGATGTCCTTCCAAAGAGAGTGGTTTATTATGGCGAAAGATAGGGAGCAGTGGAGGATGAGTAGGGAGGCCTTTGCCTTGCAGTGAGACACTACAGGCTTATAATAGTTATAATAATAATATACGAAGAATTTACAAACTCTTTATAGATAAGTGATTGATGCTGAGTGTTACAGAAACGATGAAGTAATGCAAATTTGAACTCGTTCTAGGAAGCAATAACTTGACAGTGTAACCTCATATATCATATCAAGGGATTTCATAAAGGAGACGGCGTAGCGAGGCGGTACTCGGACACTAAAGGCGTTATGCAACAACATTGTCCTTGGATAATGCCTTGCATAAATTTACAATAATCTTGTTAACTTAGCTAACATAATTTAAGGTAGTCAAGCATTTCACCGTCGCAAATACGACAAGATTCTTGCTTCGAAGTAGAAATTTTCTTGGTGGTTTAAAAAAATATTTTTTTCATAAATACGATCTTACTTGACAAGGTTTTTATGAATTAACTATCACTTTTATAGTAATTTATTTTGAGTAAATATAAGAAAATAATTTATTTTCCATATAAACAAGCAGAAGCAATTATTTTAATAGTGATTAAACAAACTCGCACACATCTGCAAAATGTGCTATGTCGATGCTTCGTTTATGGAATGATTCTATGAAATGAGCGCGGCTATTGTTGCATACATTGAAATTTAATTAGAAATCTGTAATCCTATTTGATGATGTATGTTGTATGCGAGCTAGTTCTATTTCCCCTATTTTCCTATATTGGTTTTTAGGACTATATAAAAATTTCTAAGTGAGTCTCTGACGTTTTATGAGCTTTTTGTAAATTATCATTGATCAACTAAACTACTGTTTGTTGTCGCTCGTGATACATATGAATGGTGTTTATATAATACTAGCATTGCCTGCGGCTCCGCCCGCGTTCAGATGACCAAAAACCAAATTCTTAGGTTTTACATAATAGTATACTCTTACAATTCAGTTTTTGTATTTTTTCTCAGAAATGCGATATTTTCCCGCGGTAAAAAGTATCCTATATGTTGACCCGGATAACCAGCTATCACCATACCAAATTTCATAAAAATCCCTCCAGTGGTTTTTCCGTGATGCGGTAACAGACAGACAGACATAAATTCTAAAAACTATAGACTCGGCCTCTGTATCGATAATAATGTCTATTTCGATAAGATTTTCCAAAAAATATCTAATGTACAGATTCGGCTTAGTTTCAATTTTATTATATGTATAGATTATAATACTTTCTTAGATTTAACATATATATAAACAAAATTATCTTTGTGGTGGTATAGGTATATGTCGAAATTTGTATTTAAAATTTATTTACTTTGAACGATTTGTTCTAATACATATAATATATTGAGTATATTATATTTTTACGATTGAGTAGTAGGTACTATAATTTTTTAAACTTAACAATTAAAAAGTAGAACATCTTTTAATTCGGACTTTAGTCAATTTTGAGTTATAATCTTACAAATGTGTATTGTTACAAATATGTAAACATAATAAGGTAGTAATTATTGTTAACATGAAAAAATTTGATAGTCAAATCATACGTATGCCGAAGTCATCTTATTATAATTCATAAAATGTAATAAATTAGGTATACGACCCCTGCGTTATGGGAGTTTCATGTTAACAGAACAGTATTATGTGGATATCTGAACAATTCAATGAAGGCGAGGTGTTGTGAACGAGCAAAGTTATAATAAGTTGGGAAAACCTATACGCAACGGCATTGTCTCTCGATATAAATGATTGTTACAAATATTTTAGTATGTATATCATCCTGAGTTATATCAAAACTCACACAGGTTATAGTCTCTACAGATAAAAAGTATTTATCTTTACTTTTTTTTTAATTTTATTGATTCAAAATAATGACCAAGTAGAAATAATGACCGTTTTTAATTTCTTTCATGAAGTTTCCTTTTATTAACTTACCAGTGTCTTTGGCAGATGCGACGTATCTATTGTACAAAAGAATTTTTCTCGACTTCCTCAACGGTCCTTTTTCAAACTCTTATCGCCACGCCTGCTCTATAAGCGACACCAGCAGAAGGCTCACTTTTTTCAGTTTAATTAAGAACTTTAATTGCTCTTCTACAACCTCTGCGCAATTATTCTTAGAATTTAATCTTAGCTACCTTCCGGTCTTCCTTTGTCTACATCTATATCAACTACTTATAGTTAGTCGCAATACCTACTAATTTAAAAACAATTTCTGGAAATTTTCTTGTTTTAAATCTTGAACTTTACTAGGTTAAAACTACCATTTTGTAGGCGTGTCTAAGATGGAAAGGGGTAATTTAAATGTGATATCTATTTAAAGGTCCTCCCATAACAGATTCGGATCATGTTTTGCTTGCCAACCAAACGAGCATTCCAAATCTCTTCGATTCGTTACAAACACTAATAATCAAATACTTTTTTCAAAAATATATAGGTTAATAAATTTTTTTTACTTTATAATATTTAAATTTTAATGTCGTTTGACGTTGTAAACTTTCTATTTGAAAGCGATGCATTATGTTTTAAAATGAGGATCATTAAACTAAAAATACATTAAAAACTGTATTACGATATTCTAAGCACTCAGACTTAAGTTTTTACAAGGAAAAAAGAAATGAAATAACGAACCAACTATATAAAAATAGTTGTCTCAGAAAAGATATATTATATATATATATATATATATATATATATATTCTCACAAGTATGTGAGAATCCTTTAGTAAGTATGTACCTTAATACTTACCCATTAAAATATTCATCATTTTTCTACTAGAAATACCACCGTTTCTGGACTATAATTTTTTTTTATAATATACAGAAATTTAGACCCCTCTTGTTCAATTTCACGGGTGAACAAGTTTGTTTCAGCGTAAAGATGAGCTCCAATATATGCTATCATTCAACTGACGTGAAGGTTGGATTTATAGGAACCACCGACTGGTCGGTATTCACAATTCGACAACTTCGAAAATCTGAAGGGATTCCAATTATGATAAGCGTTTAATTTTTGCAATGTTACTTATCATCGATCTTTATAAAAGAATCACCGGTTTACTACGTTATTTTTAATTGTACTATATCTTTAAAAAACAATTATGCGCAATACTTTCTTAGATTTACTCGAGTATTTGACATTTTAAATAAAACTATCTTTTCGGATTATTTTCGGATTTATTTGGATTTTTGGTTCCCGACGTTTCGAATGATTTACAGCAATCATGGTCACGGATTCGAGAAGCCATAGAAATTAAAAAACATCCAAATTTCAATAGGGAAGATGCCTGGGTACTACCATCGTCATGAGATCCTGTTATTAATATAAGAAAATCAAATAATAAATCTAAACATAACAGACAGGTAGACGTAATAAGTTCTTACTGTGTGGATCAAAATGACAGCATTTCAGATTAATATTTTTACATTTGTAAAAATATATAGTAATAGTGTTGCTTAGTAAATTGTTTTTTTTTAAATAATAGCTAACTAAATTAAAATAATTATTCTTAATTAATTTTAACTTTTTAAATTACACATACAACGATTATGTGGCTTAAATAATAATTTATATTTTATATTTTTTCTTTATGGTTATAAATATAATAATGGCAACACTAAATATAGATTACTAATTAATATTTTTTTAAATGTAATAATTACAATAATAACAGCAAAAATTAAATAAATAATATTCCATATTCAATTATAAAACTAATTAAAATTATAAAAATGTTTAAAGTTATAAAATATTGTAAGGAACTTGGTGCAATTTTTCATTTTCTTATTTGTGGGTAGGCTATCTGTAACAACTATACCTTCAAGACATGTAACACCTCAGTCTCTCCCGTGACCATGGATGCTGTAAAGCATTCGAAACGTCGGGAACCAAAAATCCAAATAAATCCGCGAAAAAATTCCAAAAGATAGTTTTATTTAAAACTAGCGACTCACCCTCGCTTCGCTCGGGTTCGTCCCTAGCTTGCTTCCCCGTATGAACTTTCATCCCCATTTTTATCCCCTTAAGGGATGATGATGTCTTGTGCTTAGTCTCACTGGTCGTATCTAATGTCGTCTAATGGGACCTTGAGAGTGTAAAGCATAGATACTGGATTTGTATTTGTGCACTATAATATCTTGCAAACTGATGAATGGTGTAAATGAGATAGATCGCCGCGACTAAAATCAGAAGACATTCTCGGAGAATTGTGAAATTTTTATGATGAATTTAATAAAAAAAATCAAATTTATTTTCATTCTTCTTCACTAATTTAATTTCTAGTTGGAATATAAGGGAATGTACTAACGCTACATTCCTAAACACGATTTCACTTATATAAAAATAAATACTTATTTGAATATGGTGTATATTCGTAAGCGATATCGTAACCGTACATGTAGACATGTCTTTAAGCTACATTAATAGCGTAGTAAGGATACTGAATGATTACATGATTTAAAAATCGACGTAATTTTTTTTTCTCTGTTACAGTTAAAACCGATGATATCGGTGGAGGAGATCCGTTGGTGTCGAACACGGATGCCTTGAGCTCTAACACGAGGTTCGCACGCCGTCGCCGTGATGAGCACAACCCGCCAAAATGCGCTGGCGGCCATTTTAAACAGGCAACGGATACGTTTGTCGGCACGAGATGGCCGTCACATACAGATTTCCAGCGTCCTCACGCGTTTGCATCTCGCCGCGCTACTATGAAATGTGGAAACACGGAAAGTGGCGACAAAAGTCACCACCAAGGACAAACGCGGCCATTAGAGTTCCCAGATAGAGATTGTATAGTGTACTTTTTAGAGGCCTAAGTGTTGTGTTGTGTAAATATAGTAGTGTGTTAATGTTAGCGATGGCAGGAGAAGGTCGGGGTTTGCGAACACCGCTGCTCGAGAGCGGAGACTATAGTCATACGCATAAAACAGCGACTCCTCGTTGCTGCCTGTGGTTAGCTAGCCATGTCAATGTGAGGAAGTGCGTAGCCGGCATTATGCTGCTAACCGTCCTTACCATACTCTTCTACACATATTATGTGACCATGCCCCTAACAAGGTTAGTTAATTTTCTTTTGCACTGAAGATATAATTGTTTAATTCATTTATTTTTTGTTAGAAATAATGTATGGAATTTCAACCGCTGACAGTAAAGATGAAAATGAAATACACGATTTGAACTTGGTTTTTGAAATGTCAGCGTAATAGTACCTATTGTGAACATTTCTACATAAATATTTAGACAACAGGTATAAGATCTTTCATATATGTAGATATTCGTATATGTAGTTAATATAGAACTTTTCAACTAGCGACTCACACCCGCTCTGCTGGGGTTCGTCCCTAGTTATGTTTTAAGGTTTAGAATAAATTTCTCAGAGATGAGATATTCTCCCGCAGTAAAAATCTAGTAATAAAAAAAAAAGTATCCAATGTACGAGCCGGGTAACCAGCTACTATCATACCGAATTTCATCAAAATCTGTCCAGTGGTTTTCTCGTGATGCGGTCACAGACATACAGACAGACAGATAAAAATTCTAAAAATATGGATTCGATCTCTGTATCCATAATAATAACTATTTCAATAAGATTTTACAAAATAAAAATTAATAACATATTATCTTGTTTAACAGAAGTCAATTATTATTTATACAACTTATGCTTAAAAATATGGTATTTGTAATAATTGTTTTAAATGCAATAAAGAATATATATAAACTTTTGTAAACCCTGGAAGTGTAACGTTGGCCACTTTGTAGTTTCCATTGTACATAGTTTATACAAATAAGCACGTTCAAACATCAGCTATACATTAATTACTCTGTACCGTGCTTTATTGCAATCTAATTCCGCTGAACATTGAGCATTACGTCGATGCAAGCCAGAGTTGGCCAAAGCTGAAAACACGAACCATAAATTTCATTTTCGTCTGTTATTGAAAATGTATGTGTAAGTTTTTTATCGTCACACGTTTCGTTTTTTAATTTAAGTCATGCGATCGTTATTAAATTTAAATTAAAATGTCGTAAAACATGCTTCAACATAATTAATTACTCTAGCTGAAATATGCGTCATTCGCACAAAATCCAATTTACTTGTTAACTATCGGTAGCAAACACGTCGATGTTGGGAAAATTAATATTATGAAATTATTGCGCTCGGTCACCTCACTTTATATTCGGATTAGTGAGCTATTGTTTCCATTATATTCGAATATAACATTAGTTGAAACCGCATTTACATCGATTTTAATACAATCGATGTTACATTGTGCTCTATTATCGTTTCAGCCATAACTAATCTTGCTCATTTCAAGCACATTTTGTTTCATTAGATAGTGATCATAGGGGTGATCTGGTCTCAGTTAACTTTGATTTAGTGCACACTCCTAGCATACGAGTATAACACGTTTTATGATAGAGATATACTCGTACTAAATCGAAAGCGATACTAAACTAAACAGAAAGCTTCTTAAATGTCCTCAGATTTAAACATTTTCAATTTATTATGATATTGCTTATCATCTGTTGCTCGATCACACTAATGAAACTTATTTTTTTTCATAAAAGGAAGATGGTATATTAAACATTAAGGGACTACGTGCATAGTGGTAATTTCCTATGAAACTTGTGACTTATATTGTCCACTACAATTCATAAAATTCTTTAATTTTCCACAAAGTTACTGAATACCACTGCTTTGACAGTTGTGGACTTTCCTTCATTCTATTGTTGAATTGCGTGACAGTCGGCAAAGCTTTTCAATCCTATTATATATTTAAATATAATATTTGCGTCCAGTCGTGAAACATGGGTCGGCTATTGTACTTTTGTATAACAGTTATGTACAAAATCTCATATAATACGAATATACTCATTCTATTCGACGACACGTTTGGCTGTTTGTAGTGACCCTACTTGCTGCGCCAGCGGTCGCGGGTTCGAGTCCCGCTGGGTGCATTCATTTGTGTGATGAGCACGAATGTTTTTACTCCAGTCATGGGTGTTTATATTTATAATATGTATGTATTTAAAAGTTATATATGTATAATGTATCAACTATCTGGTATCCATAACACAGGCCTCGTAGCTTACCATGGAACTAGATGGTGTTGTGTGTTAATGTCCTGACATATTTATTATTTTATTATTTATTTATATATTATATTTTCTACTAATTTTAGATAAATATTACGGAATATTTATATATGATGAGTATTTGTTGCAAATATTGAAAAAGATTTATCTTGCATAAAATTAGCAGCTAACGCAGGAAATTGCTTCGCAAAAGAATTAACAGCGTTTAACTTTGTGCCGAGCGTCCTTGTCGCCCTTTGTTTGGCAGCTTTTCACTTCTAAATTAGAACGAGGAGGCGAATATTTCACAGTAATTTATAACGTGATTTTATGTAATTAGGGCGGATGTCGTGTAGCTAGGACGATAATATTTTATTTTATCGGCTTAAATTTACACCGCTGCGATGAGCGGCAAGGGCGGCAAGTTTTCCCGACTTCGTAAATTTATAGCGAAACTTGTGTTCTGCCTAATTAATGGAAGCTGTTTCCCACACAGTACCAAATTCGATAATTCAAAGAACTATTCTTATCTTAAATTGAAAATTTTATTCTAAATTCGCCTAATGTTTATGTTTTCAACCGACTTCAAACAAAAAGGAGGAGGTTCTCAATTCGACTGTATGTTTTTTTTTTTTTTATGTTTGTTATCTCAGAACTCCGTCATTTATTAACCGATTTGGACAATTTACCTAATCAAATATTTTCGAAATCGGCCAGCCCATACAAAGCAAAGCACACCGACTTCGAATGAAAACAACCAATCAGTTATTTCTTACTTTTTAGTGCTTTTGTTTTAAGTCGGTTTTTATTTTTTTGTTAAAAAGTTTTGTAACTTAAATGGTTAAGTAGAATGTGTTTACAAATTCATAAAATTGTGAAAAGATTACAAACAACAAATTTAATTAATGGCAATTTCATCTGAAGTAAATAACGAAATACTTTGCTCACCATAGTAGCCTCCATTGGATAGCAAATAAGCACTGCCTTTGCCTCAGTGATTCTTTTCAGCTCCTCGTTAAAGTTTTACCCAGTCGGATAGGGCGTGGCTTTCATTAAAGCAAAGAGGCAACTCAGCCACGGCATGGTTCTGTGCCTACGTATAAATATTTCCCACAAATTCCGCCTTTTATTTATTCTCACGCTTTTGAGATAGACCGTAATGGCTCTTTGATGTGGCTCCGACTTAAAACGCAGCTATAAGTTTGGCAGCGTTTGATTGATTTTCATCAAAATTCTGTTAGAAGATTACGAAGTGATCAATTTTAAGAAAGTTTTAATTACCTGAACAATGTTTTGTTTTTAATACAGATTTAATAAGAGATAATATTACAAAACAATATGGATTTTTGGCTAACTTTGCAACGCTATGAATTGTCGATGTTATCTACGATTATTGTAATTTTTACTGAAACAAATACATATGTTATATAAAATAACTTATTTATTGCTCATACTATGCATTATTATTATTATTATAGCTTTATTTTCCACATAACAATTTCTAATATTCATCCAATTATAAATTATTTCCTTTTTCATTTGTCTGTTATGTGGCCCCTCGTTGGGTAGAAGCCTCCTCCATTCTTTTCCATCTTTCCCTGTCTTTGGCCTCATGCATCCAGTTTTTTTCCTGCTGTGTTTATTATGTTATCGGCCCATCTTCTCTTCTGTCTTCCCACTTTTCCTTTGCCTTTTGGGCCCTGCCATTTAGTTGTTTGGTAGGTCATGCTATGCATAAAATAAGTTAAATAATATATATTTCTTTATATAACTACATTCCACATTTTTCATAGTATTTTGGTTTACAGTTTGGTGTGGCGCGACCGGGTGCCACGGCCATTGTCACAATGTTCGTTGCTTGCATCGCAGCAGCAAACTGCACGCGATCATCGCTCGGACGCGCGATTACGGATCGACGCCAAAGTACTTGTGATAGCGGAATCTCTATATTCACGGCTGGGACGTGACATCGCTGAACTACTTGTCGCCAACCGAATACGGTAAGATCTTTCTATCTATAATACCAATGATCAATTATTAATTAAATATTATGTGTATATCAGAAGTACCACGAAATATATATTTTGTATGGAATAAATTGTACAAATTATTATTTGTGATAATTATATCTATAATACGCTGTAACACCAGCGATAACAATGTGAGACATATAATCGATATCTTCCCTCCAGCTGTGCCTCAATATTCTTGGTTGAAGTCGTTAAGCAATATGCATTATCATCTTTCACATAAAAGATGTGTATTTGTTTGGTTTTAATGTCTTTCTTTAGTAAACAAGCTTTCGTTAACTTCTCAGAATTAAGACCAATGTGCTAGACTACTTACTTCTTACCTGACTGCGGCAAAGCCCAAAGGAGGGTTATGTGTATATAATACATTATATATGTATATATAACGGTCTATTATGTTTATTTTAGGTTAAAAATATCGAATAGGTATCAGAATAAAATGGTTATTAAAAGTCGATCACGTAATTATATTATATCAGAGACCAGAGGATGGTATTAGTAAAAAGACAAAATTGTAGTAAGATCTTGGCAACGACAAACAACGATTTTTAATAGCCATATATTATATTTAGACATTACCAAAATTTAAACATGTGGCAAGACTAACATAAACTTTATTACTGATAAAAAAAAATATTTATCAATCTACGTGAGCAAACTTATTTATTATATTATATTTAATACTTTGATATGAATACAATAATATTCATTAACCTTTCGTTAGAAACTACAAAAACTTAACTAAAAAGTGTGACACTTTATTATCGAATTATTTACATAATTTATTGAAGGTGTAAATATTTATTAATTATAAACATTGCATTATGTGACTGCATGACGTATATTCTTAAATTCTTTTTTCCATCATATATACAAGAAAAATATTCTAAATTACATAAAAAATATTAAAATATTAGTATTTAAGTTGGTATTCCAACCAAAACAACCAAATGCTTGCCATTTTGGAACAACCCGTTATCGTAGAAAAATGGAGAAAGTCTTTAGTTATTTATTTAGTGTAAATAAGAGCTTCTTCGATTTTCGATACATCGTAATGGCAGGCTTATCATCAGACGTCGTGACCTGATCCATCTATCTATTGATTATACTAATTAATATAATTCAAATTCATAATAATAATATATTCAATGCGTGACAACTATGCAAGGTTATAGACTTACGTAATAAAAATTCCGTACATATTGTTTTTATATGTAACTAGCGGACCCGACAGACGTTGTCCTGTCTACACGTCTTTAATTTGAAAATTTCAAACTTTTTTTAATAATTTTTTTGATGAAAATTATTATTCAAATTGTGAATCTAAACCATTCCCAGATCCCCTTGAACACACACAAAAAATTTCATCAAAATCGGTCCAGTCGTTTGAGAGAAGTTCAGTGACATACACACTCACAGAAGAATTATATATATAAAGATTTATATTTAATAGGTACATTAAATTTTATACTCATAATTATATGTATTAATTAAAATATTTTGTTTGTAGCAAAAGCAATTTGCTAAAATATCTTTAAAATTCGTCACAATATTTACTGAAGCTGCTTTGTTGATGACTAGCTATTAGTGTACGATGTTTGCAGACTAGTTGAAGGAGTCGGCCCGAAAGGCGGGGCATAAACCTATCTAACGTGTTTGTCCTCAGGCTACCTCACCCCTCCTGTTTCTGTCACTCTATCGCTATACTCGTATAAAAATCGGTCCCACTCGAAACTGACTGAACTGATGTCAGAGCTGTGCTTGCTTATGAAATGTTTGACGGGTTAGCAATTACTTTTCTCATATTATTTTTTATAGTCGGTTCTAACTTTGACGTCTGGATTTATTTAAAAAAAATACCATATTATTTTTAGCGTGTGGGACTTGAAGTATCTACTCTACAAGTTATTTTATTTTTTATTATAAGTATTTTTATTTTTCAGTATTATATATAAACTAGCGGACCCGACAGACGTTGTCCTGTCTACACGTCTTTAATTTGAAAATTTCAAACTTTTTTTAATAACCTAAAACATTCTGGACCATTTTGATGAAAATTATTATTCAAATTGTGAATCTAAACCATTCCCAGATCCCCTTGAAAACACACAAAAAATTTCATCAAAATCGGTCCAGTCGTTTGAGAGAAGTTCAGTGACATACACACTCACAGAAGAATTATATATATAAAGATTGAATAGTGAATATATAAATTATTATATTTATTACATTGGCATAAGGAATGAAAAACACATAAGAGTTATGTAGATACTTAACGTAAACTGTTATGGGTAATATTATCTAGAAAAATCACCGTGCGGAGGCGGGTTGCTTTGTGCTCTGCAGATTGCACGTAAATTGAAATAGTGATGTACTAAATTGACAATTTCCAAGTCATATTTGCTTTTGGCCTCTAAAAGATTAATAAAACGGGAAGCAAACCCAGTTACTGGATGTAATTTTGCGAATTAATGTGGAGGGTCAGACTGTCCCCTAAGCATGTGTAGGTACGCTCAATTGCGTTGATGATAAAACTCAATTTAGCAGCTTTACCTTATATATGTTATGCATTTAAACATTTGACTTCTATTTATTTCAGTTGAACTTATTCATTTTTGTATATACGTAGGTATGTTTCGTATTTTAGTTATTCGTTGGTTAGTAGTTATTATAGACAAAAACTTTTTAAGTTTTTTTAGTCTAAGATCTCGATGTATGTGGTGGACCTCTCATTCTGTTTCCAGATCGGGATCTCCTACTATTTGAACGAGCTATGTAACTCTAGAATAGGCTTTCACTGCTTGACATATAACGCTCGTGCCTTATCTACCAGTTATAAACACTTGCCATTCAGTGAGACTTTCTAGTTTCTGGTAACAATTTAAGTAGGTAATAATACTTATATTGTTACTATTTCAAACAAATAGTTATAATTAACTCAACACTAATGAATCTCGTATGTAGCTCGTATAGTTTACCTAACAGGTGATACATTCCATAATTAATAATTGTTGTTAATAATTAAGACACCTCATACCATACATGTGATACGAACTAATTAATACAGCGTTTCCTACAAGTAGGTGTGTTCAGTAAAGTGAAGTTATAAGGCGGTAGTTTCACGTTCTCGCTCTGTCTAGCGGAAGTCGTTGCGGCCACAGTTAGTTCCAGCCGAAATGGTATTGCGTCTCGCTTTTCCTTCGCCTACCTACTCCTTCCCCATGAAACCTTATTGCTGTCAAAATGACTTAATTACTCTCAAGGATAAATTTACGCTACCCCAATTCTGTAAAAACTTGACCTATAAAAGGTAGGTGCAATAATACTTGATTTGTTCAAGTGATCTGGAAATGGAAAATTTTATGGCTCACATTTACATAATAGCCGTTTACTGATTTTACGATCGCTTCAGACTAGGAATGGGTACCTCGCGAGCTCACTTCTTTTTAATCTTCTGCCGTTTTATTGTGTAACTGATAAAATTCTTGTCTGAAACAGCTTCTTAATATAAATATATTATTTATTTGTAGAGTTATATAATATATATCTCTACGAATACGTTATTACATTTAAGTCTACCTATCGATATCTTGAACGCACTTGGCCCTATTTAATTACGCCACAAAGTGACCCAAAAAGATTCTAACCAAGTGCCTAATAACAGAGTCAGTAACTTGTGGACTGGTCCTTAAGTTGTATAGAAGCAGGCAGTTGTGGCGGTCGTTAGTTTACTAACTCGTAGCACTTTGCTACCGCCATTAGAGCCAGTCTCCACCGCGAGCGCTCCTTATCGTGACGTCTCGTGCTCTCGCAACTTCTTGTTTATAACACTCCTTGCCCACTTGTTTAGTATGAACAGTTTTATTGCTTTTCTCTTTCCTGCCTTTTATTTAACTGGGCCTTTAGCTTCTATCGCCTAAGAAATAAATAAATAAATAAATGTTGGGACATTAACACACAACACCATCTAGTTCCATGGTAAGCTACGAGGCTTATGTTATGGATACCTAATAATTGATACACTACACATATATAACTTTAAATACATACATATTATAAATATAAACACCCATGACTGGAGTACAAACATCCGTGCTCATCACACAAATGAATGCCCCCAGCGGGACTCGAACCCGCAACCGCTGGAACAGCAAGTAGGGTCACTACCAACTGAGCCAAACGTGTCGTCATTAGAAAGAAAAATTCTACTGTCAATTTCTAATGGATATATTTTCATACCTACCATTAATGGTTCCCTTTAATGTAACTTTTTTATACAGTATTTTTAATATTTGTTGTCTTTGAAAATACCAAAAAGAAAGCTTAGTGTTGGGGTGCATCATTACGCTACACTTTAGATGAGAACAACACGACCCTTTAACGATTACTTCTATTATCTCGGGGATCGTGGGCCTCAATCGTTATGCCCCCACCCTGTTATTCAACTCACTCGTTCCCTTATCACGAATTAGCCCTCGTAGCTCTCGGTTCACGGTTAAATTGGGCTGTTTCGCGTACTTTAATTTAAATTGAGCTCTGCCTCTTGTTATAACAGGACACACTAACTAAGTAATTAGAAACGTGATAGAATAAGATATATAATAGTAGCTATGTACAATTTTTACACTCTAAACCATATTATATGAATACTTAGAAATAATTAATACAATTTTCTTTAACGTCCCACATGGGCCTACACTCAGTGCGAGGGGTAATAGGCCACTGTTATACCAATATTTCTAAACTAGCGGCTCACCCTCGCTTCACTCGGGTTCAACTCTAGGAAAACAAAAACAAACCTATCCCACGGGAACAAGATAAAAGATAGTCTATGTGTTATTCCAGACTATAATCTATCTCTGTGCCAAATTGTTTTCAAATCCGTTTAGCCGTTCTGGCGTGAAAGAGTAACAAACATCCATACATACTCACAAACTTTCACATTTATAATATTAATAATACGGAAATACGGATATGAGATAAACATATGAAAACCTCCTAGCGGTTCGAACTTCAAACCCATTTTAATTTGTTTACAAGCGAGCATGCTCCCAATGATCTACTATCAACTTACGTTATTATATATCGTTTAATTTTAGTTTATAATAGTAAGTATTGACGGATGGGTTTCTAAGGTTGGCAATATGCAAGTAGTTAAAGTTGCAACGAATGTAACAAATATGATATACGTACATTACGGGAAATGCAAGCGAGCTAGGTCAGGTAAGAGCTATTTGCAAATAACCGCTTTACCTTAGTATGTATATATATATGTACGCACTCGAACTGCCAAATTGAAACGGGTCTTAACTCGAGCGAAATGAACGGTAGCTTTTCGATGTTATGCTTCATTTCTCTACTTGTTGGTAAACGAGAGCTTATTTATTACTTTATTCTTTGACTACTATGAAAACGTCGACTCTATTCTGAATTTTTATTAGAATTTTCTATATATCTATATTCTATTATATCAGTATTATATAATATTTTATATTTTTTTTTATTATAGTTATCGCTTTAGTATGTCATATTGTTAATCTCATTTGTTTTTCTGATTTTTAATTTAAATGTTTCGGATGCTATAAAATGTTCGGATGCAATTTAACGACACTGTCTTATTAATTAATTTGGTTTCCCATATAAAATTCATCTTCATTTTCACCCCCCTAAAAGGATGATTTCCGGGATAAAAAATATTCTATGTCTTTCCCAGGGTCTCAAACTATCTTCTTACCAAATTTTATCTAAATCGATTCAGTAGATCCAGAGATTACCCCCTACAACGTCACAAACTCACAATCTCACAAACTTTACCTCTTTATAATATGTATTAGTATAGATAACGAGATAAGGTTTTTGCTACAAAACTTAAATAATTGCGAAACATCGCAATGTACTTTAATTGGCTATTAAAACAAGAAGTCTTGACACGAGTGGATAGTGCTGTTTTGATGAATTTATAATAATTAGTTTTACAAAATATGTATATTATTTTCCTGTGACGATTTTTATACTAAATCTAAAATGTTCTTCTACCTACTAGACTATTTAAAAAAAATGTTGATTTATTTAGTCTAAATTTGAGACTATACATCCATATCTTTCCTTCATCATTTAGATATGTCTGTATGATAAGAAATATAGCCATTAAGTTCCAGTCAGACATATAATCATTTTAATAACTATTGTTATGGCAATTAGAAACTAAAAGCTGCCTCCATTTTTCCAAAAAGCATTTAACTATTTAGGTACCTATATAATTTAGAGACTAATTTCATAACTTCCAAGTAACGAACGTTAAGTTTCTCAATTAGTAGTTGGTAATTTCGGCAAACAATGCCTTTAAAAGTATTTTGTATTATATTCTGTTTCACAAAAGAAAGTTTAATTCCTCGATTACAATAAATAATTGGACACATTAAAATTTGTAAAATCTGTTATAAAAAACTTTTGTTTTATTATTAACTTTAAATATCATAAGATTTAACAATTTTATGATATTACATTTTTAATTCAAACGGAAGAAGGCACGGACAGGTGAAGTATTGCGAACTGATACATATTAATAAAGGTAATAAATATGCAAGTAAAACGTCTAGGAATAAATGAATATCATTCCTTTTGCTAATTGTAGAGTTTAAAAGAATAACGAGACTATTTCCTTTGTTCTTGATGGTTGTCGTCTACATCGTTTGTACATTATACAAAGAAATATATTAATTAGTTAAAAAATGTGTACTAATGTACTACAAGAGAATTGTTTCATTGATCAAGAGGCTACTTTGCACGGCCTACCTAAATTTTGCGTGAGGTTCTGGGTTAGAGCTTTAGCTGTAAAATCCTCAGACCTGTGGCTTACTCTTATGACAGTAGTTTCGAATTCACTTGTGTATATGTGACAATGGTGATTATGATGATGATAATGATGCAGCAGCCTCAAGAGGGCTACCGGCTAAGTCAAACAGATTTAAAGACTGTTAGTTATATAACTTTGTTTAACAAATAAAAATAATTTTATTGCTTATTTAATGTGTAAAAATGTAGTGTGACAGTTATTTTATAATTGTAATAATTAAATCTATGATAGTTAGCCTCTAGTGGACTAAATAATATAATTAAGCTGCTTAAATGATTTCTTATTAAGCTGTTCGAATTTTAAGGTTCCAAAATTTAGTAAGCGCAACCACGATATTTTTGACCTGCCATGTACTGGAACGAAATATGCTCGAAATATCTTTATACTTGCTCATGTAATGAGTATAATAAAAAATGTACAAGTATAGACAGACATATTTTCGAATTCACTTATATTCACTTATATTAAGGTTTCAAAAATAGTATTAACAACTTACTGTTTAATTGATAATTTTGTGTTTTATGTATTTTATGTTTTTCCTTATTTTTTATTATTAATGTTAATCAGTGTTTCTTTTTGTAAATTTTTAATTTAGTGTTTAACTTTTTGTTTTTCTTTTTATTTTCATTGTGGTCTTTTTCTTATTTGTATTCTTAATATGTGGAAACTTCAATGGTTTATGTGTTATTTATTATTATTCATTATTTATGTAATATTGTACTATTTGTTTCCCTAAAATAAATAAAAAAATAAATATCAACACGATTACTATGTGCATAATAATTCACAGGTACAAAGTGGAAGTAGCAGGCAAAAGTCTACCAGTACTTACCACTTTGGACAAGGGGCGATACGGCGTGATTGTATTTGAGTCGCTGTCGAAATATGCAAATATGGACAAATGGAATCGAGAACTTCTCGACAAATACTGTAGAGAATATTCAGTAGGGGTCGTCGGGTTTGCAACGCCAGGAGAAGAGAGCCTTGTTGGGGCTCAACTGAAAGGATTCCCACTCTTCATGCATACCAATTTACGGCTCAAGGTAAATTGAAATTTATTGCATGGCCTATTGTCGCCTATTATTATATCTGAGAGAAATTTTCTTTATCATAAACTGTTATTATAGAAGGTAATAGCAAGACTATTGAAGGAATATTCCTATCATAAAATCTAAAATTTTGTACACATAAAATTGACATAAACTCACTTATGAATATTTAATGTGTAATTTAAATTGGATAATAATATCACTGATATATGATATTTTATTCAGGATGCTGCTCTAAATCCAGCGTCACCCGTATTACGATTAGCTCGGGCGGGTGAAACCGCTTGGGGATCGTTGCCTGGCGATCATTGGACCGTATTCCGAGCTAACTCTTCTACATATGAACCCGTGGCTTGGGCGTTACGAGAAAACGATTATGGATCCAATGGTAAGTGTCGAACACTTTAATTTTAACATTTATCTGGGTTTTATATAATATAGAATTTTAACAAATTTTTGCTATGTTCATGCAAATATTTTAAATATTAGTTACTACTACATACTAATACTGTTTGTTAACCAGCACAGTAGTTACCGATATTACAACGGCAAAATATAAAATTACTATGATACTTTATCTTGCGCATATCATCAGTGAAATCCATAAATATCGTAATATCCAATGAACATATCTCAACGATAAAGAAGGTGAATTCACTGTCAGCTCACGTAACATGAACGTTTTCTTTCCTTTAGCAAACACGCGTGAAATACGTTATTATACCTAAAAATAAAAATGTGTGGCACGAAAGGGTTTACGTGCGACACAACAGTATTCGTAAAATATCGAATTAGATGACATCACTGGAATTCCGGCACGCTTGCCGTGCGTTATGAATACCAATCCTAGGCGCCATTCGGACACGCTTTGTGCTAATGACCCGTGAAACCTATAGGGACGTTGCTTGTCCGTAGTAATAAATTATTATGTATCTTAGTAAATAATAATATCTTATAATTGATTCCATATGAATATGGGCAATATATGCATTGTTCAATTTGTTTTGTTCTCTTAAGAAGGAAGATGAAAAACTATTTGATACGTTTTGTGTAAGTGAATATAAAATAATAAGAAATTAAATACGTTAATTCTATTATCTACGGTCGTATTAAAGTAAATCTTGTTAAAATTTATTGCATATTTAACACACATACTGAATGAAGCCAACCAACTTACTCATTAGCAAGGATCGCCTATGTTTGCGCCGGCCGGATTCACACCATAAAGTGTGCCTAGGTCAATTGTTTTACAATAGGTCACGTGATCTTTGATTCCTTTAAGGATTTTATATTCTGCTATGAATTTTTTTATGGATTACGTGGTAATGAATTGTGATTTATAATTAACATTAATATAAGGAAACTTCGAATAAATCAAGTTTGAGAAATATTTTATTTATATGCGCATATAAAAAATTTGAATATATATGATCTGTCTTTGCCGTTTGCATTTTACTATTCATTTATCGCCATCCAGTCTCCCTCCGATAAAACTTTTATTGGCTCAAGACTTTTGTTAACAGGTCAAATGAATTTGCTACGGTACGTCTCACTCTTAATATTATATAGGGAGAACACTTCATTCAGTGTATTGTTGTCAGAGTCAATCAAAATTAAACGTTATTACTAAAGCACAAACTCTAAATTTATATTGAGAAAGAAGTCTTACATGCTTTATAAGATTAACACTAAGCCTTATGATTCATATAATATAATATGGCAAAGTGTATGACTATCGTCCTTGACGATTAAGACAATTACAGTTTATTGAGTAAAATGTCCTCAACGAGGCCTTTGCCCCGGTGTGGGAAAGTCAATTACTTATTTAAATTGATAGCCAGACCAATAAAAACAATTCTTATTTAGAGGGGAGCTCGGAGCTTAGTCTATAAAAATGCGCAAATTGACAGGTCCCCACTTTTCTCCCTATATATTTTACTTGCTTTGATGCGTCTTTTGTTATTTGTATTTCTGTTCATCCTAGTATGAAGATGGTGTTCGCATTTTATAGCACACTGCCATATTGTTTATCGTTACATAAGATATAAAAGCTTTCTATTCTGATAGAATAGTTATTTTGTACTAGTAAAAAATAAATTTAAACAGTGGCTTCGTCGAATGACGACTTTGTCTAACAAAGCAAGTAGTTCATAAACAATTTTAATTAATAACGAAATGAGCAACTAAGGGTTCTTATTCCACTTTAAGCCTATTAGCAAGAACTTTGCTATTATTCCAGACCTCAACAGTTTCTTGGAATTAGCCTGGTTTTGTAACGTGGGTGTGTATTTTGGGTCAGTTCCGTGAACCGCAAACAAGCTTCGCTAACAGAAACGTTTTAAAGCGACTCGGTTTTTTAGAGCTCCTAACAATTTTGCGGCTTTTGTAGAAAATGTTTTGTCCAAATATTATATTGAAATATCGTTTTAAGTCTCGTAGCCTTCGGGAGCATAGTTTGTTTTTCTGTTTTAATAAGATGAGATGTTTGAGCAGACTTCAACTTTTGTTATTTTTTACTGTCACAAAAATAATAGGTATATTTTAAGGAATTTAATAACATTTTCAAATTTCTATTTCCGTGCAGAAGACCGAATGCCATTAGCGACGGTAGTACAAGACCACGGACGTTTGGACGGCGTCCAAAGAGTTTTGTTCGGATCCGGACTCCAGTTCTGGTTACATCGGATATTGTTCCTGGACGCTTTGAGTTATCTCAGCCACGGCCAGCTCAGCTTGAGCCTCGACAGATGGATTCTTGTGGACATTGATGATATCTTTGTTGGGGAACGAGGTATGTTACATACACATAGGTATATTATATTTTATAATATATTAGATTTTTTTTAAAGTGGCTTTTCCTAAAAAAATATCTTATAGATATTTTTAAGATACTCTAAAATTAGTGTAATACTCTTTTTAATATATTCTTCTATATAACTATTAATTTCCAAATTCGTATAAATACAAAATTCAATTAATTAATTTAAATCAAAATTTGAATAAGTATTTTAACAAATAGCTAGCGGTTAAGCAACAAATTTAAAATTTGAAAACCACAATTGTCGACATGTGGCCACAAAATTTACAATGTTCGATATATCGGGAACATGAAAATTTAATAAAAACCACAAATATCGCTTATAATTTTGGAATGCCAGTTGAACGGATTTTAATAATTTATTTTATATGATACTAATAGATCTTTTGGCGATTGGCTAAATGAGATATATAAGTTAGCTTTTAACTACAGATTTATCATACACTAGCGACTCACCCTCGCTTAGGTTGGGTTCGTCCCAGGTTGATTCCCCAAACAAACTTTCATCCCCATTTTCACGCCCTTAAGGGATGGTTTCCGGAATAAAAAATATCCTATGGCCTTCAGGGTCACCAGGTTCTCAAAGTATCTTCTTACCAAATTTCATCTAAATCGGTCCAGTTTATTCGTTTCAAACATATAAAAATACATATTTTTCCTTTTTATAATGATAGTGTAGATTGAGATGAAATATGTATATAAAAATATATTTTTGTTTAGAATATATAGAAATTCTTGTTAGTTAAAATAATAACATAAATGTGTGTTGGCTCGTGGTTTGTTAGTTTTGCCTTTGATACCCTTTATACGTAATATATTAATAAAGTGTTATGTAATCTATAGCAATAAATGGAGAGCAGATTTTTTGTTCGCTTATACTGCGATAACTACTAAACCGATCGGAATAATATTCATACCATAAGTTGCAGCGTGTTTCGGAGAAGGTTTTAGTATATGATATTAATGTACTATGCGGGCGGAGCCGCAGGAAAACGCTAGTAATTTTATAATTGTTTATTAGTTATATTTGATTGGCGATGTTTGGAACGTTTATAATCATCGGCGGTCGTTAAATTGTTTAGCTTACAGAATGTATATCTGTTATGTAGGTTATCGTGTGCGCGTGTTGATTGAAAATTCTGATATGTTACTAGACTTAGTACGAATAGATATTTATATAAGTATTTATGTTAAAGATGATCGATGATATTGTTTGTTATTTCTGAACTACGCGTGTGTTGAAATACACTTAATAGTCTGTATCTTGAAAACTACTGATCCGATTTTGATAAAACTTTTTCACTATACGTTACCACCTACGTTGCAATAATTATTGCATTCAGTCCTTTAGTTTCCGACTTGTTATTTTTGCACATTTACTTAGAAGCTCTATTATCTTTTTTTTTTTTATTAGGCTATCGTATTTTTCATTTTTTAATTTAGAAGTAGGTTAAAAAGTCAATCGACTGGACAGAGATCAGAAGCGTTGGCATTATATGCTTTCCAAGGCACAGCACACCATCTTTTAACTTTGACCTGCTAGCTATAATACCTTGACGGAAAAATCTCTTGATCTTCTTGATTATCTTGTCCTGCCTGTGCAGTCTTAAGTAATTAGTCACTAGAGTGTAGACTAATGAGACAGTGATAAAATGTCACGTAATCTAAAAAAAAAATAGAAATGCATATTTATGAGTCATAATATAAGCATTTTATGTACATACATATATATTTATAAATGTAAGTAAAATTCATGAATGTGGTTTTACGTTTTAGATAGAATACATTTCATCGTAAGTTTATCGTTTGTATGTACACTCGATAATTTTGTTAATATTTAACGATATGTTAAAGTTAATTAACAGTCAGTTAATCAACGTTATCGCAAAAAAGAAATGACCTCGTTAAAAGTAAATAACTTCTTGTATAGTATATATATTAGTACATATTGTGTATGTATTTTTATATCACTTTGTCCTTTATTAATGTGCTTAGGTTAGTGAAGTACTGATTAATCGTCTACTAGCTGGTGAAGCCGACATTTTGCTGCCTTTCTAATCGGTGATTAGTTTACAGGTAAACGCTGGCAAGGCGATTAATCGGCTTAAACTTTTAAGTCTAACGATGCGATAAATAAAATGTTTTGCGTGCGTTGTTCAGGTTTGGATTTTGTGTTTTATCAAATAATTTAAGGTTATTAAAACTTATTTTACTATTTTTTTGCGTTAATTTCATTTTATACATTTTCTAATATATAAAATTCTAGTGTCACAGTGTTTGTAACAAAACTCCTCCAAAACGGCTTGACCGATTTTTATGAAATGAATTGAACTGAATGAATTCAGTAACTGAATGAAGTCAGACTTCCTGAATGAATTCAGTAGGCCTGAGAATAGGACTTAAACTGTTTTTCATACTATTATTATATTTTTTTTTTATTTTTCGGTCAATTTTTTTTCATTTTATGATTCGGCATTAAAATTTATATACAAACCCAAATTTTCACTAGAGACGAACCCGAGCGGAGCGAGACCCGAGTCGCTAGTGTATATATATATAATAATATGTAGTATTTTACATTTGTTTAAAACACTCGTTAATTTCCCAGAATTATCGTCATTACTTCTGCTTAGAAAGGTTGGGTATGTAATTTGAACGGGTTTTTTTTGTGCTAAAAAAAATTTAAACGTAACAACCAGAGTAATAATGTTTAAAACAATATATTACATTAAATACATGTAAAGTAAGAATATAACTATTTTGCCTTCGTTTTGTGGTTAATATATTGCTCCAATGTATACACAGTTTTACACTTTTATTTTTAATAATACTGTGAAGCGTGTGAAATGGTATTTGTTCAGGATCGACCCCATCCCTTTAAAAACGTGACTCGTTCAGTTTTATCCCATGTTATCAGGTAAATCTAATTCTTTTTGTGCTGTCTTGGTGTTTAACGCTTTTCCCATCTCATTTAACTTCAACTATACCTATGAGTGTGCATATGGCAATTTTGTACCTACACATTATTGTTATTTATCTCAGTATCTGTGAAAGTTACCACTTTGATATTAAGGGAAATAATACTTCGGACTTTTATATTGAATTGCTAAATTTGGAAACACGATTGGTGCAAATTTTCTCGATAATATATTTTTTATGAAAAATACATGTTTTGGATACATATTGCTATTTATTTCAGAAACAGCTCACTATTTTTGTAGGGATTTTTTTGTTTTGCCAAAAAGTATTTCTTCAGTTACCGAATTTCATTTTTCGATTATTTGTTTAATTAATGTATAGTGAATTAGAAACTGTTTTGGCGCTTAAATTTGTTGAGCATCTATCGCTCTATACTTCTCACTCACGATAGAACATTCTCTTGTCATCCCGCTCTTACGAATCCGAATCGTAGCGGTCTCATGGCGCACTCTTAATGCGAATATTAAATTCAAAAAGGCAAAATTGGATATAGTCTCTATATTATTATGAACAAGTGACCTACTCAGCCTTAGCCCTGCTCATTCATATTTTATTAATTTGAATACGAAAATTTAATTTTCATACGATCGTTGCACCATTTAAAAGGGGTTGCATTCCAAATAAAATCTTTGCTTGTTTTTGACTAACTAAATTTTAGTAAATATAGCAGGTGTTTGTTGAATGACGACACGTTTGGCTCAGTTTGTAGTGACCCTACTTGCTATGCCAGCGGTCGCGGGTTCGAGTCCCGCTGGGGGCATTCATTTATGCGATGAGCACGATTGTTTGTACTCCAGTCATGAGTGTTTATATTTATAATATGTATGTATTTCAAGTTATATATGTATAGTGTACCAACTATCTGGTATCCATAACACAAGCCTCGTAGCTTGCCATGGAATTAGATGGTGCTGTGTTAATGTCCCAACATAAAAAAAAATTCAGGCCTATTAAAACTATTACAAACCAGTCAGGGCAATCAAGTTGGTTTATTTCAATAAACCCTCTACTTCAGAATTCCGTTAAAACGGTAAAATATAATAATTAAATAAATTCTCATAATATCACAGAAACGTTATTTGTTTTATCGTCGTCAAATTTAAATCTGAATCAATTGTTTTTATACAGTTCAATTTATATTAATCTATCGTGATGCAATAAAACAGTTACGCATGAGGACGTGCTCGGGCGTTCAGAACGCGTCGTTCGTTTGATAAACGAAAATCATCGATATCATGCCGTTTACTTTCATACAAAGTGTAATATAGCGTGTTGGAATCCTTTGCGAAGTTAATTATTAAATTATCATCATCGTTATTATGTTGAATTACATAGAAGATAAAAGTTATCGTATTAATTGACGTTTTAATATTATTGTATTATAAACATATGCAGTTAATAAAATATGATACGAAAACTTATACGTACAATATATGTGAAAGTATTCTGTTTCGATACGTATATTTATATTTTATTAGCTAAACTTTTAACAATTAAATGTTTGAAATCGATTTTAATCGAAATATGTTCGTATAGATTTAAAACGTTGAAAGTATATGAGATCCGGATGAAGTCGGGAGCTAGATTTCAAGTAGATCTATTCTACGGCTAGGTAATATTGAAAGAAATTTTAAACATTTTTTTCTAATAAGATAAACTGTTACTAAATAATATATGCACGTTTAATTAATGAGATATATATTCGTATTAGTCTTGACATATAAACATAGGTTCTAATAAATGTATAGCTCTTCGAACACCATAGATTCAAATCTTTCGTATAACAATCTTGTACTTAATTAAGTTGGTAGCAAAACTTGCTACCGCTAACATTTTAAATCACTAGCGGAAATTAAGCTATAAAAAGCTAAGCCGTAATGGTGCAAATATTAAGGTTTTACACGTAGGTTATAGACTACCGCTTATATTTTTGAGCGATGTAACAAAATAAAATATATGTAAGTATACGAGTATGATACAAACTTTTGATTTTTTTAAATCTTTTCCTTATTAAAACGATGATATTCTCAGATGTATTTTATTTCATGTATGTTTATGGAATGGAAGATAATAATTTTTATAAAGTCTTATCATTAATGGTTTAGCCTATGCGTTGCTCAGTTAGTCACGCAAGCGCTTTATATGTTAGTACATAAATATACATATTTGAATAATGTATTATAAAACTTATCAATATGCGTAGCCGGAGCTGATATGGCTTGACCTCTGAATAGAGCATCTGATATAATAAAAAGAGCTATAGCATCATGACATACCAAAGTAATAAAAAAATACTATCTCTGTACTCGTATGGACAGTACCTACAATCTAGGTATATATTATTATTATACCTCAATATTTTTTTTATTTAGTTTACTGAGCTGTTAGTAGAATTTTCTTTTTTAATATCGTAATGGATTTTTCTAAGCTTAAAGGTTTGCGACCGTCTTTCGTGATCATGGCGGGAAGCAATGAGCGAAAGCATTTCTAGGAAAATCTATGAAAATGAGTACTCTCATATTATAATTATTATTATAAGATAAAAATAAATTACAAAGAAATAACAAATAACTATATTTAGATTCTAAATATTATTTACGCTATTATCATGATTATTAACCGGCTTCAAAAGAGAAGCTTATCAATTCGACACGTTTGTGCGTACGCATTTCTCAGAAACAAGTAATTGGGTTGTGACATTATTTTTTATTTGCTTACACTTACTTCAGTTTAGGGAACAGTAAAGATTTCATCAAAATCGGTTCTGCAGTTTTTATGATATGGACTATAGTATGTGTCAGTAACAGCTTGGATAATTGATACGAGCTACGGGTGCGGTGTCAAAGAGAAAAACATCTTAAAATCTTGCTAAATAAATATATTAAATTAATTCAAACATAATATTATATTTTGACACGTTGTAATCCTCGACACAGGTACACGTCTACACGAAGAGGATGTGTCGGCATTGTTAGCTTCACAAGCTGCGTTACAACGGCTGGTTCCGGGATTTCGTTTTAATCTTGGTTTTAGTGCCAAGTATTATCATCACGGAACTGATTTGGAGAATCGAGGAGATGACGCCTTGTTGAAGAGCCGGGAACATTTTAATTGGTGAGATCATTAATAGATAATACTTACCTACTACTGTTAATTTAGTACTTACCATGCATAATACTAACACTAAAAATAAATATGAAGGTAACAGGATATATCGATTTTCTTAAGTTATTATATTTGATCTTACTTTAACCGACTTTTAAAAAGATTGGTTCTATGTTTATATGTATTTTTTCTGTATATATTATTTTTATTATACTAATTAAATATATTCTTCGTATTATTAAAGCTAAGAATTAAATTTTATATAAGAATTAAATTTTGTCTATGCAGTTATTTTAAAATCGTAGCAAACCCGTTTATGTTTTCATTATATTATCTTTTTATGTTTATCTATATAAAAATTTAATTAATATTTTTTACATTTTACAAAATATTTAAATGAAATGCTTATTTAAATTAACAGCAAAATCCTACTTATATTTTTACTCAACGAAGGTTTTAATGGGCTTTTTTATGTAAAGGTTTTGCCACATGTGGAATCACCAGCAGCCTCACTTATACAACAATGTATCTCAACTCGAAACTGAAATGATGCTGAACAAGCAGTTCGCAATCGAGCACGGAATACCAACTAATTCCTGCTATTCGGTATCGCCTCATCATTCCGGCGTGTATCCGGTGCATGAACCGCTATACGAGGCATGGAGGAAAGTGTGGGATGTTAAAGTAACGAGTACAGAAGAATATCCTCACTTGCGACCGGCCAGGTTAGTCGATTCTTATCCCCATACTAGCGAGTGTCCCTTGCTTCGCTTGGGTTCGTCCCTAGACGCCTAACAGTAGTGTGTTCATAATTTCTTTAACCTTTATAGCCCCTAAAAAAGGTTGTTAAAATATTTTATTCATCTACATCCTACACTATAAATGGGGATGAAAGTTTGTATGAGGAATCAACCTGAGTCACTAGTTTTTCATAAAAACTGTACTCGTATAATAAAAATTGTAGAATCGCATTAATCGATACACAACTTTGTTCCAAAGCTACCAAAGCTACTTTGTATGGGAGTTTGTTCTACGTTAAGTGAACGTCATAAATATGTTGTAAAATCGATTTCTCTAGACTGATTGCTAAGTTAGTCCGATCATATCCATTGAGTCTATATTAAATTCAATTTATAGACCATTCGAACATACAGAACTTGTTTACGACTTCCTATATCGAGTTGGCCGGTATATTCAAAGTTAACTAACTCAGCTGTTTCTATACGTATTTGCTTAGTTCACCGAATTCAGTAACGACTTATAATTTTGGTTGTGCTTTGTATACTGACCCCTCGATAACGGAATAAATGTCTTTAGTTTGTCATTAACTTTTGAAGATTTAAAATATGAAGTTTGCATTCTTTTTCTTGTTTTATGTTGGATTATCACAAGATTAAATCGTAAAACAATATGTTAGTAATAAATTTTGACAATCACCATTTCAACATGTTCCGTATCAATTCTACAATTTTATCTACCATTAGCATTGCTAGCGGCTCCGCCCGCGTTCAGATGACCAAAAAACAAATTCTTAGGTTTTACATATTAGTATACTCTTACAATGCAGTTTTTGTGTTTTTTCTCAGAAATGAGATATTTTCTCGCGGTAAAAAGTATCATATACATATATGTTGACCCGGAAAACTAGCTATCATCATACCAAATTTCATCAAAATTTCTCCAGTGGTTTTTCTGTGATTCGGTAATATACAGAGGGACAAAAATTCTAAAAACTATAGATTCGGCCTCTGTATCGATAATAATGTTTATTTCAATAAGGTGTTCCAAAAAAATATTGAATGTACAGATTCGGCTTAGTTACAATTTTATTATATGTATAGATTATCAAATTTTCGTAGAAAGAAAAGTTGGCGTCTTGTCAAAATAACTCGTTAAGTTTTAGATTGTTATCAATCATTAAAAAACCCGTTGGGGACTGTAGACTATTACGTCACTATTCATTAATTGGTCCTAATTAAACTAAATATTATTTAGACGTACATATATCTCAAAGAGTCGCCACTTCTAATTATATGTTTGTGTGTCTCTCTTTATATTATTATATTCTTTATATCTTTATATGATGTATATTTTTTATATTTCGAAAATAGAACTCTTTTAGGATTTTCGTAAAAGAGCAGCCTAATTTTTTGTCTAGATAAGATATCGATTGATAACGATTTGAAGTACTTTAATTGAAAGATTATGTCTGTGCGGTCGAAGCCGCCTATATTGACAAATATTTTCTTAGTATATTCCTAAGAACAACTTCGAATACGTTGCCACGAGCCAATTAGGAAGAAACTACATATATTAATAAATAATTGTTTAACAAATCCACGTAAATTTCTAAGAAATCTTTATTGTTAACTGTAACTCCGTCCGTCCGTACGTGTCCGCGGTCGTTGAGGGATTAAAGATCCCTATAATAGTCTTGCCTTCGCTTTTGCATACACTTCTGTGGTAGAAAATATAAAATGAGACATCTACTCGTAAAATGCGTTTGACGTGATAACCTGTGTAGAAACCTCCTTGAGTCGCTATAGAAGAATATCTTATATATAGCCTTGGGAAATCTAGACAGTACCATTGGGCCTGTGCGTTCATAATTTTTTTGTTGAGCAATAGATATATTTTTATCGCGATTTTTTTTTCCAGAATTTTCTTCTGACAATCTTTCATTTTTATATTTATACTAGCAGAACCCGCAGCTTCGCTCGCGCTAAAAGTACAAAAAATCTCTAAAAAGGTAATGTCATAAGTTTCATACAAACTTTCATCCCCTATTTTACCCCCTTATAGGATGAATTATGAAAAATGCTAAGACACATATTTATTTAATTTTATTGAAAAGTATATACATATACCAAGTTTCAAGTAATTCTGATAATAAATATTTTTTTTGGATTGTATTATAACGTGTTTTACCGTGGCAATTATGTAATCTCTCGCGATAAAAAGTAGCCTATGTCACTCTCCAGCCCTCCAACTATCTCCACACAAAAAATCATGCCAATTCGTTACTCCGTTTCGACGTGAAAGAAGGACAAACAAACACACTTTCACATTTATAATATTAGTATAGAAGTATGGATATATGATTTTGATTAAAGGCATTTTTAGCATTATTAGGTCAGTTCAATTATTGTTAGATATTTTCGGCCTCTTTTTAAAATAAAATGATTTTATTACGAAAGCCTCTATTTAAACGAGATAATAAGTTCAAATGAAAGCGTTGATAGGACTAAAAACATTTCAAATTATATATCAGAGTACCGTATTTGTCCGAGCGCTGATAAATTAAATTGTAAATGTCACTAATAAATTAAACATTTTGGGCGGTCATTTACTTATTGACGCGTGAATTTAAAATTTAAATGTTACATTTTCTATTTACATACAGAAACTCTATATTTATATATATTTTTATGCTTTCAATAACATAATAAAAATAATATTAGATAGTTGGTTTTTCCGAGACATAAAGGTGTATTAAAGACTTTTATTTGAATCATTTTAAGTTATTTATAAGGGCGAAGAAATAAGCGTATACTAATATATTGTGTACAAGAGGGGCAGGATGATTGGGAATAGTTAGTGGGCCAGTGTTGCGGTTACCGAACTCTCCTATAGACCGCAAGCGATGCGTATTGCGTTGCGGCGACGCTTCAGTCTACATCGTACGCGCATTTCTGTAGATATTCGCATATGCAATAGATACCCCGATGTATGAGATTGACTATCCAATACGAAATAGGACGCAATGCTGCCAACTAGAATTTTGGAACAAATTGGATTCGCTTTCAAGTATCGGTACTTATGTCTAGGACAGTAAAATAGTATTTCTATTCTACAAATCTCGCTATAAAATATTCATATATAGTTTTATATTATTTGTTCGATGTGTGCTTTTAGAAAATCCGGCCTCTCGCCACACTTCTTGTTTTAAATAAAAAGAACGTTATCGGTACATATATAATAAAATTGTAACTAAGCCGAATCTGTACATTAAATATTTTTTAGAAAATCTTATTGAAATAAACATTATTATCGATACAGAGGCAGATTTTTGTAGAATTTTTGTCTGTCTGTCTGTCTGTAACCGCATCACAGAAAACCACTGGAGGGATTTTGATGAAATTTGTATGGTGGTAGCTGGTAATCCGGGTCAACATATAGGATACTTTTTACCGCAGGAAAACGTCTCATTTCTGAGGAAAAAATACAAAAACTGCAATGTAAGAGTATACTAATCTGTAAAACTTAAGAATTTGGATTTTGGTCATCTGAACGCGAACAGAACCGCGGGAAATGCTAGTTTCTACATAAAATTACATTTTCAACATTTTTACAAAAATATTGCTTGGTAATTAACAAGTCTTATTTTTGCCTCCGAAAAGTTCGCGCGACCTTATTTGGCACATAATCTAAATATGTTTCGTTCTATGTTTTGCATGTATTTTATATCTGCACGTCTGCTATAAAGAGAATTCTAGCATGGCGTTGAGTGTAATGTTTACTTTGCTATTTAAATAAGTCCAAACGTAGAACTCTGAATAATTCTAGGTACTTTTAAATTACGTTCAAGTTTTTATATGTACAATCTGTACATGAATTTTTATCGTGGCTTAACTAACGACGAGTTTTAATTTTCATTTTATGAGTATGAAATGTGTGTTGAAATAATAAATTAAATCTCCCTTTTGGATTAACATACGGCAGCTGTTAACTATCTCAATACTGAATGCTTAAAAATGTATATAACGGTCAATTTAATATATACTTTTGAGAATGAGTATGTACTATGTACTTTTGTTATTAATATTAACAAATGATAAATTTAATGAGAATATTGAATATTTCTAAATTATAACGCACCAGTATAATGTAAATAGTTTCCACTTCTGTGAATGCTCATTTCCTAAAATTGATAACACAACACCAACAAAGCTACAACTAAATTCAAAACTACACTTGTATATTTTAAAAAAGTGGTTTTACTCATAACAATGCAACCTTAACCTTTTTTCTTGATTTCCCTAGATTACGGCGTGGCTTTCGTCACAGGGACGTAATGGTATTACCGCGTCAAACATGCGGTCTCTTCACGCATACACTTCTGCTAGAGCGGTATCCAGGTGGCAGACAACGTCTCGACCGTTCCATACAAGGCGGAGAGTTGTTCCAAACCGTCATTAATAACCCGGTAAGTGGGATTTACTATTGACCATTTGCATTCGTAATTGTTGTTACCAAGTTTCCGTTCCATGCGGGCGGATACTGCTCGTGTGTAACTTCGTCGAAGTGGTTTTGTGTAAACTTGCACCTATATTTCCTTCGTGTATGCGGACATTTTCATATTGTTATTTTATAACGAATCTGTATTTTGTGTAATTGGTATACTGTAGGTACTATTGTGTAATACTGCGGTTGTTTCTAATTTGAGTTGGAACTAATTAGAAATGCCTCTAGTTGTGTTTTATTTAACTTTTTAGCCATGATGAGTGGGTGTTCTATTGTTATATTAGGAATTATCGAAATGCTTTGACATAGGGTTGTATCAATTAATATGTTGATTCAAAACGTGTCTTACTCCAAACGTTTCTCATTAAGTTGACATGAAAGGGATTGTCCGCAAAACAATTTGGAACTCTGCTAGAATTTATCTCGATCATCATGTGGGCTGTCGATGGTCTCGTTACTGGTTGAATCGGACGGACCGCACGTGAAGTGTTCTAAACGGTCGTCAATAACGTTGCCCGTTCAATTTACTACTGGCCTTTGACTTTTCATGTATCACTGAATCTGTACTCGATTTCGTCTTTGATTTTTGTTTACTTTATTGGGCACTGAATTATTTCTGCAATTTGTAACTTTTAAGTCTAAGTATGGCAAAGGCTAATGTAATTATTATATTAGGCGTCTGAGTAATATTTACTAAAAAATATTATTGTTATATACAATAATAATTTTCTTTTAAACTTCAGAGACTTGTGAAAACTGCAACAAAATTGTTTTGTATTGTTATTGTTTCAATATTTAATAAAAACCTTTTATTGTTCAAAACAAAATCGTACATCTATTGTAAAACGATCTATATGTACGAGCATTCTATCATATAAATGGATTAAAAAATTCAGCTCTAAAACTTTAGAAGATGTACTAACAACAAAACAATATAAATAAATGATTGAATAGTCCCATGAATAACATGGACCATGCTGCTAAATTATATTTATTACGACTGTCACAAAGTAAATTATAGATAAAGCAATTCATGACAAAAATATGAATAGAGTGCACTGTTTGAAAATAAAACTATACAATAACAAATACAGTGGAATGAATTGTCGTCGCATAGGGTTTTGTTTTTTTTTTTTAAATCAAAACATCGTTATCGATAAATTGATTGGACGCCTCCATACAGGCCTAGTACAAAACCGCTTTGAACTATACTTAATGTACACGTTGATACAGAGCCTTTATATCGCCATTCAACTATGAGCACATAGTGATGAAAGTGCGGTGCTCTAAATGAAATCATAATTCTTTTCCCTTGATAATGAATGCTACAGTTTTATGCAATATTTTTTTATTTGTTTTCTAACGTAGGTATATCATTTTAAAGCCAGAGTGCTCCAATTAGTAGCGCGCTTTGTATACTCATTATCATTTTAGTTAAATTTTTATAATTTAACAATATTATATTTTTTTAACGGCAGTCGTTTTCGTCGTAGTTATATTGGTACACGACATGTCACACCTGAACTACACCGACATCGGGTTCAATTTCTATCTATAACTTCTATATTTGCACCAGATCTCTGTTTAGGTTTGTCGAATGGTATTCCTGTGAATAATAATTGCACTTTTTTACCACGGTGCTTAGGCGATTCTAGGTTCGGTTTCCGGGTTGGACCAAAAGAGTCGATAGCAATCCTGAGCTAGGAAATTAGAAGCGTTGAGTCTCTGTGTTACGTAGAACAAGTATAGCCTTCAGTCCATCAACTTGACATTCCACGCACTTTTGTTTGTTTATTTACTGGTACACTATAATATCACCCACGTAAGGGTGAGACCTAGTGCGATTGATGGCTAGGACTGAAATCGGATCAGAAGAACATTACAGTATCGCGAAGAGAAGAAACTGCGAATTCAACTCAATTTCATCGTTCCCAAAAGAAAATGGCAATTATCACTATTTTTCTCTCTGTTTTATTGAAAATTACGTGAAGATAAAAAGTTAATAGAAACATATCAGTTTTGTTTCCAACCTTGAGACTATTTTTAAGATTTATGAGTCATAAAAATACTTCAGTTTATCTTCGTACGAATTTATTTACTCAATGTTGTTTGTGTTATTGTAGAAGAAAGGTTCAAATAATACTTTTCCAGATTCATGCGAATATTTGGCATTATAAATAACTATCTTTTCGGATTTTGCGCGGGTTTATTTAGATTTTTGGTTCCCGACGTTTCGAATGCTTTACAGCAATTATGGTCACGCGAGAGACACCCGGTCTCGGGTATTTAAAAGAAAGGTTAAGTATAAAGTAGGTATGTAAGAATAAAAAAAAGTAAACTTTTTTATACCTATACATAGCTAACTATAATATTTATTCCCAGATCAACGTGTTCATGACTCATATGTCAAACTACGGGAATGATCGTTTGGCATTGTACACGTTCGAGTCTGTAGTAAAGTTTCTTCGATGTTGGACAAATGTTCGTCTCGCTTCAGCGCCGCCCCTCGCACTGGCTGAAAAGTACTTTCGATTAAGACCTGACGAATTAAATCCTTTATGGGGGGTAAGTGGTTTTATTATTTCACTGAGTAGTTTGTGAAGTTGGCTTGTACTAATGTTTTAAAATGTATTTTTGCCTTTGTCGAAGAGGATAATGGGTTATATAATTTAGTATGTGTGCTTGTTTTACGCGACTAGATATTATATTCTAAAGGAAGGGTATCCGATAAGGCCTCATTTCCGCCCGTGAATAACGAAAAAAAATATGTCATACGATTTGACCTTTTCTTTACATATTCTGAAAGTAGACTGTGTGCCTGATAAGTTAATATATTTATGAGAGACAAAAAACTACAATGAATACTACTCGTACTTGTGAGACGCCAAACTTTGGTCTAACTGGTAACTGGCCTAACTTTTCGTCTAAAATGAGAAATGTTCAGTAACTTCTCAACTTTATTTATATAAAGCGCAGGATGGAAGCACTGTAATTTTTAAATATATTGTGTAGAAACATAATAACATTAAAATAAAATAAAAAAGAAATTGATTCTTATATGCGCTCTATATATAAAAAAAGTTGAATGTAACCGAAAATGTCTCATTTTGAATGAAAATCCCAGTTAGACTAAAGTTTGGCGTCTCACAAGTAGTATTAATTGTAGTTTTTTTTCTCTCATAAATATATTATCTTATCAGGTACACAGTCTATTCTCAGAATACGTAAAAAAATATAAAATCGAATGACATAATTTTCTTCGATATTCTGGGGCGGAAATGAGGCCTTATCGAAACCCTTCCTTTAACTACTCCAACTTTTATTTATGATAAATTATTCATCATTTTATTGCTTTAAAGCAATTGAAATAATAAAAATCTGTAATAGATTTAAAGTTTTTTATTATTTCAGTAGCTTATGACACGCTATGACTACAAATACGCAAGATAAGCTCTAGCACTATTTGAATATCCCTCTGAATAATACACTCTGTATAATACTCGCTTGTGTAGTTCTGGATTGTATAATAAAGGCGCTCTCACCAGGTGAGAACAACAATGCGAAATACTCGATCATTGTTGGACCATGAGGGCCTCGTGAATATTCAAGCGTTTTAGGCATAATGTTTGCTAAAAAATATTTCATCATATTTTATAAATATATCTCATGCTGACGTGAAATTATTATACCTATACTAGCAGAACCCGCGGCTTCGCTCGCGTTAAAACTCATCCCCAATTTTACCCCCTTTTGGGATGAATTTTGAAAAATGCTCAAACACATATTTATTTCATTGTATTGAAGAGCATTAATACCAAGTTTAAAGAAATTCTGATCGTAAATATTTTTTTGGGTTGTATTATAACGTGGTTTCCGTGGGAATGAGATAATCTCCCGCGGTAAAAAGTAGCCTATGTCGCTCTCCAGCCCTACAACTATCTTCATACAAAAAGTCACGCCAATCTGTCAATCCGTTTCCACGTGAAAGAAGGACAAACAAACACTTTCACATTTATAATATTAATATGGATGTACCTCTATAACTTAAACCCTACTAAATTAGTTTAGAATTTGGGAAGGCTTGTTTGAACTAATTATATTGGTACACGCCTAAATAAATAGGTAAATACTTACAGTGTACATTCAATATAGAGTAAACGTATTTTACTCACTATTTTATTAGTTCCTAGATCAGACTTAAATTAGTACTACTATTGCCGAATTTTAGTGTAATAAAAAAAATATGTTGGAAACAGTAAGTTTTTTATATACATAGATAAATGCATTCATTTATACCTGTATCTTTGCCTCTCGCCTTTATTAATAATCGTTAATAATAGGCCAGTTAGGCCTGAATTTATATTTTTTTTACTGAAATGAATTACCTATTCGTATTGTATAAAATCTTTATCTTTTTTAGTGTTTCATATAATTTACGATGTTCGTTATTCTTTACTAACATTTCCTTTGGATAAATTTTCGTTCAAAATAAAGGAGTATTTTTTTCTTTCTTATCTAGTCTTCAACTTCGTGGATAGTATTACCAATTTAGATCGTTACTAATAAAGACCGCGATTAAAGATGTTCGAGGAAATTTAATTAATACCTCAATTATAAAGAATTCTCCGCGTAACATCTTCAATGAATAGAAGTTTTTTCCTCCTATTACTGAATTAACATTTTACGTTGTTATGAATATAATAATATGAAAATATTTTTATTATTTGCTAAAGAAATAATAAAAGAAATATTAAAAAAGTTGTTTTGTGAAAGTAAAAAATAATCTACAAGTTAATATTTTTAACGATTTTATTCATGTAGCAGCTAATGCTGATGGCTACGATTGCGTGTGTGTTTTATTTCTATACAGTATACAATAATTAAACATGACATTCGCTTTTTATAGGAATGCATAATGCACATAATAGAGCTGAATTTAAACGTGGCTCTATTTTTTATATGTACAATGAAAAAGTTTTCACAAAGGCCGTTGAATCGCTTTCGCATGGGCCTAAACTTAACACACAATACTGAAACACTGTTATAATTTTATTAAGTAACATAGTTATCGGATTAATATAGGTAATATAACCCGCACTTGGCCAGCGTGGTGAACTATGGCCTGATCCCCCTCGTATTGAAGGGAAGCCCGTGCCCAGCAGTGGGACGATAAAAAGGGCTGAATACATAGGTACTAATTTCCCATGAAAATCGCGGTGTGTCATGGTAACAAACAGCATATCACTTCGGGCCTATTAACTATCTCTATGCATTTAATCACTTCGATCGATTGATTCGGTGTAGTGAGTAAGGAGAAACCAAAAAATAAACGTGTTTTTAATTTATCTAAATATAAAAAAAAACTTGTTTCACTCCATATTCCAAAATGACTTTTCATATATGTACGAGTACATAGTACATAAATAAGTGTTGTTAGGTAAAGATGTTAGAGACTTGGAGATGGAAAAGATAAATCATCTTCTCCCATTTTCGAAACTTTGACTAACCAATTCAATTGGATTAATTGAATTGTAAACTTTTGTAATTATCAAATTAGATAACACGACTTTCGAGATCGGTAACAAATAATTACTTGTGCCTGCTCTAGTGAATATTTTATGATAGAATTATTTATTATACTAATTATATATACCCAGTATATTACGGGCATTTACGGTAACCGCTATAATATATTTACTTTATAATTTTTGAAAAGACTGCATTTAATTTATTTATATACTTTTTAAATTTTGGTTCGGAATGCTCTTGTAAATATTTGCAGTGAAAAAGTTGTCGTCATGAAATCGGAGAACATTTTTACGGTAAAATATTATGTTACATAATATTCACCGAAGCAATTTTTAAACCACCCGCTGATTCAATTTGCAGAATTGATTCCCTCGGTGATTCCTCTACAATTCCATACCCAATATGTGGCCGTAACTTACAAAATACCATAAAGCTTTTCACTATAGTAAATATGAAAACAGTAATCCACTGATACGGATTAATATTTTAAAGAGGTACCTACATATTATACTGATAGAGATGTGTATGTTTTTGCCTTGTTTGTTTTATGTAATTTACGCCGTATCGTATTCATTTAGTTTGAGCTGCGAAAATAGAAGCTCGAATTAATTTCGTTTTAGGAAAATAATTTCAAAGCTCAATGTTCGTGGTTGAAATGATCGAATTGTACGTTTCGTGAATATGTATTTGATGAATTACATAATATATATATATTAATATTTTATTAAATTATTGATGTTTCTAAACGTTTAGTATTTTACTTTCTAAGCTTATAAATGTAAAGGTACGTATTATGTTTGTTAAAGAGGTCTTATTCGAGTAACAACGAAACAATGGATTGGCCTGATTTTTCCCATAACGCATAGAGAGATTTATGCGTGAGTTTACCGGACAAGAACAAGATTTATTCCAACTGTTTGATGTTTCAAATAAAATCGATAAAATAATTATCATTAAAATCATCGATTATATAGATTAATAAATATTATATAGTAAAACATAAAAAATATATAGTATATGTTGTACTTAAAGGAATTTACTTTTTAAATAAAAAAAAAGTATTATATGAATTTACTTTCCTCATAAAATTTATTTGTGCAATAGTGTGTGTTAAATATTTATCTAAACGCTATTCATATACAAATATGATGTTTATTCTAACGCTGCCACATGGTTCGAATTCTTTGTAGACCAACAAACATAAGAATTTCAATGAAACATTTAACCTAAATCCGATCACAGAAACAATTTAGTAATAGCACAAAGTTGAAATTTATTTTTATCTAAACAGAATCCGTGCGACGATATCCGGCATCGTAGAATTTGGTCGAAGAGTAAATGGTGCGATACGTTACCGAAGATCTTGGTAATAGGACCGCAGAAAACAGGCAGCACAGCGTTATATACGTTCCTGGCGATGCATCCAACTTTAGTGCCCAATTTGCCAAGTCCGACGACTTATGAAGAATTGCAGTTCTTCAATAACAACAACTATTTGAAAGGACTGGATTGGTAAGTTTGCTATTTCATACTTTAACGTTTCAGTTTTATACGCCGATTCAAATAAATTGCCCCGATTTTTCAATAACAATTAATTATTATTTGGGTGCTTTGAGAGATTTAGATTGTTTAGTTTTATTCACCGATACGGCAATATTCGTTGTATTAAAAATGACATATGGTTGACTCGAATACTGGATTGATGTTGATACGTGTCCACTTTTTTGTGCGCTCAGTTTACTTCCTAGTAGTCAATATTTATTATTTGAGCTGTAGGCTCAAGCTTTATATAGTTATTAGTAAACTACCCACCCATTTTTGTATTATTATCACTGTTACATGATTTGTTTTATTATTTTAACTTCTAAAAATAGTAACTATCTATTTTTGAAGAAAAATAAAAGAAAAACAAGTAAATAAAAATGTTTGGAATTTTAGCAATTTTTATGCAAATTTTTCCATGAGAAATTTAACTTAAAATTCTAATTTATATGTAGAAATTTTTGTTACGAAATTAATATTTGAGATATTTTGAGATACTCGGTGACATATTATGCATTTTCGGCAAATATTAAATATAAATAGTCTTACTTCATACACGTACGTTCACTGTGAATAAAATATTACATCACCCCATAAGGTTGTAAGTTCTTGAAGATATAAGGTACTATAACGTTATTATGTTAACTTACATCTGTTTAACCTGTATTGATATTATAATACAAAATTTAAAAAAAAACGACTTCCAAGCACTAAAATGTAAAACATAACTAAACGGGGGTTTTTATTTAGAATAGATACCTAAGCAAATCTAATATATTTTAATACGTAAAACACATATTTTATTAGATATTCATATTTTAAAATGTTGTAGGCTGGCAAAGACTTCCAAAATATCTGATTAGGTATCTATTCTAAATGAAAACCCCCGTTTAGTTATTTTTTACATTTTAGTGCCTGGAAGTCGTTTTTTTTTAGTTTTTATTTCACCATTTTTAGTGTAGACGTAATAAGCAGGTAATTTGTAACAAGAGAGTTTTTTAATAACATATTCGATTAAACAATTTATTTAAAAAATATATTTATTGTTGATTTTCTTCAAAACCGCTAGACCGACCGACGATTTGGATAAAATTTATATGGGACCTGGGAAGTATATAACCCTTTGAAACAATAAAAAAAAACATACATATAAAAAAAAGATTCCGACGAATTGAGAACCTCCTGTTTTTTGAAAGTCGGTTAAAATACGTGTGAACCATAAAGTAAAATGTTTTTTTTTTAGTATCAGATTTTTACTTTTAACCGTTAAAACGTAGTATTTTAATTGTTTTCGCGATTATTACACACGCCTAATGTATCTACGTTTTATGGCCTTTCTCTTTACTCGTTTAAGCGTGTTTCTAATTGTCAAATCCAACATTTTTAAACACTTAGGCACTTTTTGACTTATTATCTACAACTATAGTGTGTACAATGTATTATATATATATATATATATATATATATATATATATATTTGTTTCACTTATGCTTATTCTTATATATTTTCTTATCGTTTCGTTGCACTTTCTTTTTCTGTCTGTTAATATTATTTCCCACATACATGGGTTTACTGAAAGAGATCTCTTATTTAGATAAGCCCACCTCTGTCCACGTCAATTTTGTATGTGTTTATTGTAATAAATAATATAATACATTATGTTGTGAACGCGATAAGTTCAAATCTATGTTAAATAATAATATCAAAAGAAATTAATAAAGATTATAGGTTAATTGCTGTTACATTAAGCACTTACGAATTGTCTTGGATACAGTGTCAGAGCAGGTCGTTATATATATTATATATATGCTTGCTATCAGACATCACGATAACACCGACCGACAGTTATAAAAGAGCGTCCCAACGCAGAGTAAACGTTTGATCCCGTTCAATAAATGTCGTCGTTTGTTAACATTTGGTAGTTATTGATTCACTGCATTCTGCTCTAAATACCTTTGAAACGTACTACCACAAGTGATAAGCGAAAAAAAGATTTTTATTCAATATAAAATATTATTTACTAAAATATAATTTATTATTGTAGTTTTGTTTAACTTGTTTAACCGACAGTAAAGATGAAGTGTTTAATACGTTTTTTTTCTATATCTTTTAATTATTTTTTAACACGTACATAGGTACAATCTACACCTCAGCGCTGGCCACAATTTACAGTGTAAAATTTCTTCAAGAAAGGCATTTAATTAATTTTGAAATTAAACATCACTTTTTTCTTATTTATATTTTTATCTATTCATATCTTAAGTATTAAATGTTTCTAAGTTCAAGTTCATCGCACTCAATAGTCAACGTGTATTGAACTTTGCAGTACATAATTCAAATCGGCCAGCAGTTGTAAAAGCGCTCACTATTGTGATGCAAACATTTGATTCCGACTCAATCAGCGTCGGTGTTTGTTAAAGTTAGATAACTAAAATTTTCTTGTTTTGTCTCATACAATTATAATTTACAATGAGGTTTTATTAGATGAAGCGGGTTTAAACACCAGGTATCGGTCCATTAAAATTTTCATTTGTGAATCCGAGTTTCAGTACTTAAAAATACGATGATGAAGGAAAACATCGTAAGAATACTGTTTTTCCCACATTCGGCCAGCCTATTCCTCCATAGCATTAAATTAAAAAGGCAAAATTGGTATACGGAGAATTATAATTAATAAGCATAAAGTAATAAACTAAAGGGAGTTGTAGCCCAGTGGTAATGCGCTCGTATAAGAAACCAAATGAAGCGATTTCAAATCCCGATATTTTGATGTGCAAATCATTTCCAATATGATTACCACTTGTCTTATGGTGAAGGAATACATCGTGAGGAAACCTGCATGTCCGAGCGAACCTAGTTTTGGATAAAAAAGAAGCTTTAGTTTTTGAAAAACATGTAAAATACCCCAACTCGCACTTGGCCAACGTGGTGTTTTACGGCCTGATCCTCCTCGTACTGAAGGGAGGCCCGTGTCCAGCAATGGGACATTAAATAAGGGCTGAATAAAATTAAACTTTTATACTTTCTTAGGCAGATCAGAGTAGAGAATTATTTTCGACGTGTAAAGTGTATCACAACAAGACGTAGTTACTAATATGATTGATATCATTTTCTGTGTGAATATAGGTACCTACAACTTTTAACTTTTTTGTAAATATATAAATATCTCAATGTTTTGAAGTAAAAAGCTGCTATTTATTATATACATTATTCGTATAAAATGCTTTTCGTAAACTGTTCAATTTATTTGGATGGATACTCGGCCTAAAAATATTTCTATTGTCATGTACATTGATCCCTTTATATTTGATCCCTTTTCAATCATAACGTGCGTTTGTTAATGTAGTGCAGTTATCGATTTACTAAATTCTGCTCTAAAAACTCTGAAAGAGATAACAATTTGGGAATGAATTTTATATACGCATACATAAAATAGAAACACTGTTGTGCAAGTATGCAATTTTTATTGTTTTATATAAAAATCCTTCTTATGTTGAAATAATCATAATTCTGAGATTGTTAATTTGTACTAGCGACTCACCCTCGCTCCGCTCGGATTCGTCCCCACTTACGTTTTAACGTTTAACATAGATTTCTCAGAGATGAGATATTTTCCCCCGGTAGAACCTATCCTAAATGCTGATCCAGATAACCTGTTATCATCATACCAAATTTCATCAAAATCCCTCCAGTGGTTTATCCGTGATGCGGTCACAGGCAGACAGACAAAAATTCTAAAACTATAGATTCGGCCTCTGTTTCGATAATAATGTATATTATTCCAAAAAGATTTTCCAAAAAAATATTTAATGTACAGATTCGGCTTAGTTGCAATTTTATCATATGTATAGATTTAATTTGTAAAGACAAAAGTTAATAACGTTGTAAATCATGCAATTGTAGACTGTATTTGTAATGAAAATTGTTTTTCGTGGAATATAAAAGTAATTACGACTAAGTTTCCTTAACTACCTCGGCACCTCCGCCTAAACTTTCCTTCTCTTTCACATGTAAGCCTTGTACATTTACTGAAACGAATCAAGTTTTCGGGAAAGACATGACAGATGTCAATTTGTTTCTATTTGATCTACGCGCGTACTCCGCGAAATTTTCGCAACAATGAAAAAGTTAATCTGAATTTCACACACGATATTATTTCAGTGCGAATATAAATAACAAAATACTTAATCAATTTTAAATACAGATTTTATATAAGAAAAGTTTTAATTAGAAAACTTATGGCGAAATAATTTTAACTGCTTGTTTTATATGATAAGCTGAAATTAAACTGCAAAAATTATCTATACAGATAAATAAATTTGAAGTGTCTGTTTATAATCCCAAAATAACAGCGTTTAACTAAATGCATATGAAATTATTTACGGTACTTATAAGAAAAACACAATTTTTTAAATGTTTGTCTGTCTGTTTGTTCCGGATAATCTCTAAAAACGGTCGGCTGGACTGATTTTTAGGGGACTCCCACTGTAGCTGATGTTATAGGGAGTAACATAGGCTATTTTTATTTTAGAAAAAGAATTAGGGTTCCGTTAAAAATTAAAACGTACCTAGGGACGAACCCGAGTGAAGTGAGGGTGAGTCGCTAGTATTATACCTATCGTTTGAAACAAGAATGAAGTAGAACAAACAATTAATTATTTACACTAACTTTATCTATGAAAACACCTGAATATTCAAAAATAAAAATCAAAAAAAGAATGGCATGTTCGCGTCAAGTGTATCACAGATATAAATAGTTTTATTTTTTTGCATACGATCATGTTTAAGGTACACTATTAAAATTCCTACAATCCTTTTTAAATAATAGAGTGAATATAAAATCTCGTATTTCTTGTTCAATGTTTCCAACCGAAATAATTAATTAAATAATTTTTTCCTTAAAGATTGTTAGAATTATTTGATTCAGAATTAATAGATCTTTTTATGTCTTTTATAACTGAATTCAACGTTTTGTTATTACAAAACTTTTTGAATGTTCTCCGTAAAATTTGAATTAGTCTTTCGTTTATTTATTATTTTACTAAATAAATTCTCAGTAATGTATTGCCCAATAATTAACTCTTAATTTAAATATAATCTACGATTAAAATTAGACACATTATATATAAATGGTTGATGTTTCTAAACACATCATATCCATTTTTAATATAATTTTAGTATACTAGCGACGTACCCTCGCTCAATGGTTACTTCTACGTCATAGTTTGTGTAATTTAATCCAAATCCATCAAGTGGTTTCAGGGTAAAGGAGCAATAAATATACACACATACAAGTTTTCACAATTATAATAGTAGCCCGATAATTATGACTGAAAAATATCCTGTAATTATTTATACATTTGTACGTCTATTCACAACAGGTACTTAAACTTTTTTCCACCGAGTCAGAGCAACTCCACGCAAATAACATTTGAGAAATCAGCAACTTACTTCGATGGAGATCTAGTGCCAAGACGAGCTCATGCTCTACTGCCGAACGCGAAGATCATTGCTATCCTGATATCACCATCGAAAAGGTAACATTATTATATACGGTTTACAAAATACTTTCTTAGATTTACGCGAATATTTGACATTATTGCGAATTTATTTTGATTTTTGGTTTCCGACGTCTTCCTCGTCGAAATCTTTTCATGGTCACGGGAGGGACTACATATACATACGTATACACAATTATAATATATATATATATATATATATATATATATATATATATATATATATATATATATATATTGTTTCCTTGTTTAAGTTCCCAGCATTTGTCAAACGAATTGTAATCTTATTTATGTGTCACAATACAAAATTAACTTTAACAGTTAACCGCTTAATGTGTTTCAAAGTCGGTCTCATCGCTAGATTAGAGTATACTGCGGCATAACAATTACATTACAAGATAACTTTTAACTTTATTGCGACGAGACAACATGGTTTTCTTAGAAATAGATCCCTTTTCGCTCTTTACTTGACATAATTATGTAGTAGAATTTATTTTTGCCAATTTTGAAATTAAACTGCTTAGTCTCCATTTATTTTACTGTTGTTTGTTTTGTATTAGAAAGTGATATTATTTTAGTTAAAATATCATATAGCATATACATATAGGTGTAACACACGCAAAATAAGCGCATAGTCGTCGATTCTGATAGATGTCTGATTGAACCATTGACAAAACCTGTGTTATATAGACGAATTTATTCCATATTCATTATATAATAATGATTCTTGTACATAACTATATTTATTTTTAATTTAAAAGTATAAATAAAAGGAACCTTCGTTCTTTATAATAAAACTAACATTGCCCGCGGCTCCGCCCGCGTTCAGATGACCAAAAACCAAATTCTTAGGTTTTACATATTAGTAGACTCTTACATTGCAGTTTTTGTGTTTTTTTCAGAATTGAGATATTTTCCTGCGGTAAAAAGTATCCTATATGTTGACCGGGATAACCAGCTATCACCATACCAAATTTCATCAAAATCCCTCCAGTGGCTTTTCTGTGATGCGGTAACAGACAGACAGAAGACAAACAAACAAAAATTCTAAAATCATATTCGGCCTCTGTATCGATAATAATGTTTATTTCAATAAGATTTTCCAAAACATATTTAATGTACAGATTCGTCTCAGTTACGATTTTATTATATTTATAGATGTTATTCCATTTATTTACTATAATTGTATAGAAGGTAGTTTTTTTAACGTATTAAAGGAAAAAGTAACTCATTCCGCCCACCGCATTACATATAATTTTAGCTCTCAAAAAAAGAAATGCCTGCGTTCATAAAACTTTGTATCAAAAGACGCGGTTTAAATAGTTAATTTTCGTTTTACTCAGTACCTAATCCAGGTTCAAGTAAATAGCTACATAAATATCCGAGCGAGTATGCTTTTGTATGAAAAAATTCTGTCCGTACGAATTTAGCGCAATACAGTCGGTTAATTTCGTCCTTTTTTTTTTTAACGTTGGGAAATGCATTTACGCACGAGGTGTGGGACTCACCGGCAAAGCCAGTACTACCCACTAAAACCCAACAAAACCTTCCCCCGTCATAATGGGGCGTCGCAGGATCGCTTACGCATTCAACTACGACGCCCCGACGGCAGGTCTGCCGAGGCAAACCACAACGACCATGGGGTTGCTCCACAGTCCACTCTGCTATCAGAGAAGTACCAGGAGCAACCCGCATGGTACACTGCCCTCCGAAGTGGGCCACCTCCCTGTGCGTTTCTTGGCTTCGCGCCCGGTTGGGTTGCCGGGCACTACTGAGCCCCCCCACCACGACAAGGTGAACGCACGTTGGGGGGGCGGTTAATTTCGTCCTACTGTATCACTCCCTAAACACGCACTTAATGCTACCCAACTAATACCTCTACCTACATACATTAATTCTCTTGAGAATATTTTTTGTGGGACGGTTCGACATAAAATAAATAAATTAAATACTATGTAAATATTGTTTTTTTTTCAATAGCGTTTCAGACTTACCTGAGTATACCATAATATCAGTTGATCAAAATTTGAATAATTCGATGTCCTATATTGTTGCCAGTGATTATGATTTTGAGAATTTCTATTAATAAAATAAATTTTATTAATAGAAATTCTTATATAAATATTATATTCATGAGTAAACAGAAGTCAAAAACTACCAGACAAGTGTCGACACTAGCATTTTATCTACGCGGATGCTGTCACGGGTAGCAGTTCATATTATTTATACGTATGTATTATATACCTAATTGTATAATAGAAACTGCTGCTCCGTTATTATATAATATATTTTATTATATAACGTAAATATTATAAATCGAATTTTAACAACGATGAAATATACGTTAACATATAAGTAAATTTCATTGTCGTTTGTTTATTAAACGCGAAAATAGGTGTTTAATTTAATTAAAAACAATTTTACCCAACCAATTTCAATGTTACTCCGGGGAGCATTTGTGTTTGGGTACTTTGAAAAATTGTTCTAAATATTTTGCAAATATTATGATAACGTGTTTTAGTAAATTGTGTAAAATGTATTAATATTGTAATATTTAAACGATTTTAAATCTAGGTCAAATGTCTATAGTTGTTTAGTGTTTAAAAATAACTTTGTAAATAAAAATATTTCATGCTGTGGAAGATACAATACTACCGTGTTTTGCTTTAATTGGATCGACAAAAATTTGTATGATCAACTCTTAATTACCTCATGAGGGAATCGAACCTCTTACCTATAGTATGATAGAACATGCTAAATTGACGCGTATAAGTTTTAATTCAGATTTGATTACATGTTTTCAGTTTAGTTTATAAACTATGTAATTTTTCTTTTTGAATTATTTATCCAACCAAAATGATATTGTAGGCAGTTTAGTATGTATGTATATATTATTTCTGTTAATTTTAGATAAAGTCAGCCCACATTAATTGATGAAAGAGCATTTCATACTAGGATTGCGTTGTATAGAATTTGCGTTATTTAATAGTGTAGAGTTTCGCTTTGTTGCTATATTTTGTGGTTTCCCTATGTGAATATTAATATGTTATTTAATTTATGGTATTATGAAATGAACCATTCATTCAGACGGAATCGATAGATTTATAATTATGTATTATGTTAAATTACAACTGGCTTCATAATTTCGCATTCAATTCAAAGGGGAATCTTTATTGATTTTGAATCAAGCCTTGAGAAAATAATATTAAAAAGTGCAAATATAGGTGGAAATTCAAATTTGTTGAAACGCAACGCATAATGACAGAGCCAGTGTAGCAAAAGCGATTTTGTCACTAAAAATTGCTTAAGCAAAAGTAATTCTTAGTGACAAAATTCCTAATAAATTGGCAGCACTGGTTCTGTTATTATAGACTATGATATCATACCAAGCACGCGAAATAGCGAGTGTTTAAAGTATCCGTATAGGTGTGATTTTTTTTTAATTTATGGATACTAAATTTTAGTTTTTTGGAGCTGGATATTTTTTACAATTATATAACGATGTAAGCTATTGTATGAAAAAAAATCACGCATCTTCTCTTTTGTATTATGAAAGCTATAACTGATTGCGATTTCCATATATTTTCAAGAACAATGAAGATATTACTTTTATAATTATTCCGAACAACTAAAGATCAGAGAGACAGAATCTCTCACGTGACCATGAATGCTATAAAGCATTCAAAACAAAATAAACAAAAATCATAATATATCCGCGAAAAAGTCCGAAAACTATATGTTTTACATAAAATGTTAAATATTCGCATATATCTAAGAAATTATTAACTTATTTAGTTACACATATCTTACTTGGTTGCCACTTTCACTATAACTGTTATAATGTGTTATAAAAAATAAGGTTTTTAAATATTAATATTATATACCACGGCGTACGCGTTCGCTTCAAAAATCGAGTGCAGTCGCACTTCAGAGATTTTCATGTGCGAATCATTTTTATTTTTTTACCACTTGTCTTATGGTGAAGGAAAATGTCGAGAGGAAACCTGCATGTCTGAGAGAACCTAGCTAGTTTTCGAGAGACATGTAAAGTCCGCCAACCCGCACTTGACCAGCGTGGTGGACTATCTCCTGAACCCCCCCGCATTGAGGGAAACCTATCTCCAGCTGTAGGACATCGGAAAGGCATCGTTAATCATTATATACATTATAAGACGTACATCAACCTTATCCTGGGGCTGATATGATGGTCTCCTAGCCGATTCCGGCCACGGCGGCCAATCTCATTAAGACTAGCCAACTGCGCGGGATATATTATAGTGCACAAGTGTACGCGCAGACACAAGGGCACTCTCTATTCCTGTCACTCTCATACTCCGGTGAGACGACTGCACGACACGACCAGGGAGAGTTAAGGCGCAGGACCGACGGCTTTACGTGCTCTCCGAGGCATGGGGGGGCAAGCACCGCCAACTTCCCAACTCCGGGCTGTTACTGAGACTTACTATACAGAAAGACTCAATAACTAAACTTGGCCCGACCCGGGACTCGAACCCAGGACCTCCGAGTGTGCAGCCGTACATACTAGCCACTACACCACCGAGGCAGTTATGGGGCTGATATAAAACCAATATAAATATTGTTTTTTTTTTATATGGATATATAAAAAAATGCGCGGAAAGAATAATAGAAAGTAACAATCGTCACGTTTGTACTCAGCCTTCCCTATTTCAGAATATAGCTTGTTCTTTTTATTGAATTATTTTTTTAAATATAAATAAACAAGCTTGACGAGATGGTTGCAAACAAGTCATATAATTTTCTATTATAATTTTTTCCCCTAGCATAAATATAGTATCGAATAATTCGCAATTACTCCAACCAGACGCTCTTGAAACATAATGCCATTCTTATTCAAATCATGATTGTTTGATTAAATTTGCTTTATATATATTCTATTCAAGAATTCTGTATTTTTTTTAGGATTTTCAGATAACAATAATGCTATTTGCTCCGTCCAATATACTTTGTAAATTATGTAAGCGTCTCAGAAATAAATTTGTCTGCTACTGATTTCGAGATTGATTTTTAATCAAATTTCCAAAAGTTTCTTTCGAATGAATTATTTTACAGAATTTCAATATCGTTAATTGAATTAAATATTGACATCTGCTCACTTTCAGACTGCAAGCTCAAGTTACTTAAGAATTTACTAACTAATAGACCTTCATTCATATCAATGACACATTAAAAGTTTTACGATTCGTCGCAGAACAGCAGTTACTCGTCATGAGTATTATGAAAGATTTTTGTATACTTTGTATATTAAAATTAAAGACAAATATTGATATTTCTTAGGGCGTATTCGTGGTACCAGCACATTCGATCGCACGGAGACCCCATAGCGAATAACTACACCTTCCACACTGTCATCACAGCCAACGATTCATCACCGAAACCTTTACGAGATCTCAGGTAATTATGTACATAGTCTAAGTAAGTAGTGCAGTTTTAGTAGAATATTATTTTACTATTATAAATGTGAAAGTTTAGATGTTTGGATGTTTGTTACTCAATCACGCCACAACGGCTGAACGGATCTAGGTGAAATTTTGCACAGAGATAGATTCTGGAATAGCACATAGGCTATTTTTATAATATAGTCTTAAGTATATTTTAGTGTAAGTAGAAACTTTCAGGCCAGTGGATACTAGGACAGTTTTTTTTTAAAGGTGCTAGTAACATTAGAGTAGGTTACCAATTATTATTATTTTTGTAAATCTGGTAAATCTGTCGCCTCTGTAAGAAGGTTATTATGCCATTGGCCAAATGTTTTGGTCCAAAATTTAATCAAATTTGTCAGACGACTTGTTTCGTATATAGTGATAGCATCAGTAGGCGAGAAAAATGTTATTATTATTTCTTATTTTAATCAAAAATCGTCAATAGTCAATTTCAATATAATGTTGCTGGCACATTTCATGAAATTATCCAATTTTGCTGAATCTCTATTGAACAAAGAAATTTGACCCGTGGCTTGTCCTTAGAAGTAGTGCTATTAGGATAAAAAAAATATAAAACTGTATTGTTAATACGTAAAGTTCGAGTCTTATTTTAAACTTTAATTATGCAATACAGATTATAGATTTTACAGAATAATAATAATAAATCATAAATATACTATTAAAAGTTATAGTTCGATCGAAATGATACGAAATGTATTAAAGTATTGGTATTTCCCAGCAGTCATACCAGTAGGTTTTCTTAATATTCCAGCGATCAAAAAAGGAATAGATACACAAGCAGCGACAAAAAATGTCCTCGCCGAATGAGCGCTCATTTGAACATTTGAGTGCGCTTTTAATTTGATTTTTTTTTTGTGAAACAACTTTATGCATTTCATTTAAGGTTCAATTTACATTTTTGTATATTAATATCAACTAGAATAATTATTACTTAAGTATTTTTTGCTACTGCTATATTTACAACAAACTATATATTAACGATTACGTTACTGTGAAACACAATAAAAACAATTCTGATACACTTTTACTATATCTCATTTACTTTTTATTTTAATCGTTATAAATATAGAAATAGATATACGTATTTTACTTTTACTTTCTTACGTTTTAATATAGTAATAAGAAATAAGTATTATATACTTATATAATACTTATTTCTTATTATTATATACTTACACATATTATATACTTTTCTTATCGTCATAATGTCATGAAAGGTTATAAGATATGTATATGGATAGTCCGTTTTATAGGATTACTACATAGTTTTTGCCCGCGGCTTCGCCCTCGTAGTAGATATGCTGTCCCCATTGCTAATTTTACCCAAATATGTTAGTGCGAAGAATTAAAAAACACATACTTGATGTCTTATAAACTTTCGCCTATAAGCCTACATTTAACCATATCTAATAACATTGTAACATTTATGTATCAATTACTGGTGTTTTTTAATGTATTGCTGGGTGTCTGTATATCTTTTTTTAATACTTAGGTGAATTCTTCGCTAAAGTCATTAGACGGTTATTAAAAGTATTTTTTCAACACGGTACTACCATGTACGTGCATTTATTGTACAAAAAAGGCACAAACGTTAAGTGTACCATTGTTTCAAACAGAAACCGCTGTCTGAACCCGGGCAAGTACAGCCATTACTTGGAAAGATGGTTAGCGGAATACAGCTCGCACCAAATGCACATACTCGATGGATCGCTACTCCGCTCAGAGCCCGCCGCCGTCATGAACACACTGCAAAAGTTCCTTAAAATACCACACTTGGATTACAATAAATTGCTCAAGTAAGTATCTTAATTATTATCTTTATAAAACTAAATAAAAATATAAATGCGAAAGATTGCATGTTTGTTACTTAATCACGACAACACGGCTGAACAGATCTGACTTAAATTTGGCACAGGGATAAATATAGTTTGGAATAGCACATAGGTTACTTTTTATTCCGGAAAAATGTGCGGATCCCGTGGGATAGATTTGTTTTTGTTTTCACTAGGAAAGAACCCGAGCAAACAGAAGGCGAGTTGCTAGTTTGACATTCTCATTTCATAATGAGATAGGATTTATTAAATAAAATATATATTTATTTAATATCTTTGAAGCCATTATCAAGAGAATTGATAAATAAAATATGTCATTGTCGTTGTTACGTAACATCAACGATGTCTAGTAGAAAATGCTATCTTATCTTTATTATCTCCATCCATATTTATGCTATTACGGTGTCTAGTTTCTAAATAGGAACTTACCTTTTATTCCTTTGTTGTCATTTAGGTATCGTGTTCTCAGCGCACAATACCACTCTACATCACTGTATATAAAAGAATTGCAATTGTTTCCAAGATAGTTGTATGTTTTAAAGCAAAAAATATGTTCGTTATTGATAACTAGACGTGTACCCTGACTTTGCCTGATTTTATTAGAGTTACTTTAACCTTTTTATGTATACAACACTAGGGAAAACTATGTACGTCATTGAACCGTATAAGTTGTATATTTTTTTCTTGAAGTGAAAAACTTAGTTTATTGGAACTACATATAAAATATTTCATATATTACGACGAAATAAATGTTGAACTATGTTGTAGAGAAATATTATTAAAATAATAATTTGTTACAGATACGACCCAAAGAAGGGTTTCTTCTGTCAAGCAATAAGTAATGAAAAAACGAAATGCCTCGGAAAATCGAAGGGCAGAATTTATCCACCTATGGACGATATTTCATCGAAATTTCTCAAGAAATATTACACTCCACATAATACCGCGCTGTCGAAGTTATTGGTTAGGTTGGGCCGTCCAGTTCCTCAGTGGTTAAAAGACGAACTATCAAACGGATAGCATTATTTGAAACCTAAGAGGTTGGAAATAATGCACAAACTGATAAAAGTATGTGTTGTGACAATGCCTTGAATTGCCAACTGAATAGGTGTGATGATAATAAGTGACTTGTTTAGTTTAAAGTTTCTAGGAAAATTACATGACAGATTTGTATCATTGTGAAAAGGTTATATATAGCTCGTGAAGAGTTTAATAAGTCGGCAGAATAAACGTATGTTGTTTTATTAATGTATTTTTTTTAATTAGTAAATGTATTACATGAAATTTCTAAATGTTGGCAACACTGAAGGATATATCGTTAAGTCCATGTTATAAACTGTGGGCGTTTTCGATACTTAAAGTTGTTTTTTCATGTTTCAATGTCAGAGTATCGTTGTTGAGATATATCTTTTAAGAATCTTGTAATATATGAGAGATGTTTAAATGATTTATTGAATATTCCATTTCAATAAATGGATTATTTATTTAGATTGTAACATTCTTTATTATTTCGTAGCGTAAATTCAGTGTTCGTATAATTTTGCTTGCCCCAAATCTTTAGCCATATAACTGTACTGAATATCTATAGGGGTAATATAAAGAACGGGTCAATTTACTTGGGTTTTTATTTATCGTTTGAGACTCGAAGGCTATATTATTATTTATTCAGAAGTTAATACTCGTATTGGTAATTTAAAAGGAGACGATTTCATTACCCGTCTTCTATTTGTATATTTTTATTGGTATTTTTTTTCATATTGACCCAAGTCTTATGTATTATCCCGACAACGATATCAATTTAGGTGCTATTCGTTAGTTAAGTTTTCACAGACCGTTATGTAAATAGCATGGTATTACTTAAATTCGTCTGAATCGTTACGTTACTCGTATCTCGGGATAAGAATGAGCTTCTCAATAAAATTTAATCAGATTCATCTCATTCCATGCTTCATTCACGCTTAGTATTTACATTGTACGTACCTGACGATGTGTACATTTTATAGTTAATTTTGTACGTTAATTTTTTTTATATATATATATAGGACAATTATTTTCAATACTTATATCCTGTGCCATTAGCACCAAATAAATAATGATTTAGTAAATGCTTTTCTACACATCAGTATATGAGGACGGTGTTATAGAAGAAAATGTCTAACCGACATATGTATGACATCAGAAGAACTTATGAGAATGAGTTAACTTATTAATTTTGTTCAATGGCAATTCTGAACAATGAACTAGTCCTACTATTAAGTGTTTATTTGTTTATCACAATATTACAGTTACCTATTAACAGATGGAGTCGGTTTTGTATTCTTAAAACGATACGTGGAACAAAGTCGTATTGATCAAATTTTATATGGAATATAGCAAATGCGTATGTTATATGTATATTATATACATATGTAGTAGATTATAAAAATAATAATAGTGATAAAATTTAATTATTATTAATTATTTAATAGTTAATCTTATTTTTTTAAGGTTTTATTTTAGAATAATTTAATGGTCTTGGTTTTTTTTTCTACTTGAATTGTTTGTATAAAATTATTTTTTTATGTAATGGAGGTCAAATATAGGCTTCATTACATAAGTACCTATATATTTTTTTATTATTTACGTTTTTATTTCTTCCCCGCGACTTTGTTCTACAGCAGATATCTCTTTACATTGGAATATAAATGTATTTGTAATATATTTTGATACGCATGAATTTACGCGAGGATACGGTCTGAAGATTGTTAACGATTTTACATAACTTTGTAATAGTTGTACTTAAAGTTCATGTAAAAATCTTACCTTCAAAATAGTGAATATTATATTATATTATGAAATAAAATTATTGAATATAGTGTAAATGTATCATTTTTATATATAAAGTATATATTGAAAATCGGTTTTCGTAGAATGTTACGTTTCGAACAGCCATTCTTAATATGTTTAATATTTATATTTTTTATATTTTTATTTGTATATATACAAATGTAGATATAAACATAATTTACTCGTGTTTATTTATCAGTTTGCATTTTTAAATCAAATGTTTCAAACTAAATTGTCTTTTTTAAACATATTAGTCAGTTGCTTCAACGTACGAAATAACAAACATTTTTTTTAATATAAAAACGATTGCATTGATTTGATATATCCATATCGTATTCGTATGTTCTAATATGTCAAATAATCCCATTTTATTTGCTGAAGCGTCAATTCTATGGAAACGGCATTTTCGAAATATATTTCCGTTTTTCAACAAAGCTTTATAGATTTAGAGTTTTATGTCTACACTTCTGACGTTTTTGATGGATTGTGAAATGGTGTGTTAATAGAAAATGGCCTTACAATTTTTCATATAAAACTCTGTTCGAACTTCGTGTCTCGATTAATTGTTATATAAATATTTGAATTCGTATTTTGACTTGATTATATGTTTGGGGCTCATAACGGTTTTTTCTTTCATTATTACTTGATCTATTCTCATATCTATATTGTAACATTAACATTATTAAATTAAATTGAACAAGTTTTTTTTGTGTTGTGATATTCAGAGGCTGCTTTTATTCCCAGTACATTGAAATATGAACGGATATGTATTGAAATGTTTTATTGAAACACATTTCTAAGAAGGTTCTATACATAGTTTTGGTTTGTTTTTTTTTAATAACATGAAGTCTTTAAATAAGTTCATCAAAATTCTCTACGTATCATGAAAAAGCTGATCATATATATAATCTGTTCAATATGTATAATTATATAATCTGTTCTAAAATTAGTTAAATGGCCCCTTTACACTTATTTGTCTAATAAATATTTTTTCAAAGGCAAATGACTGCTCTTACAATGTGTTCTGTATATGAAATTAATACGTCACTTATTTTATTAAATGATTTAATAAACGAATGTTTTGTTTTAGTTTTTATACCTTTAACTTTGTTTTATAATAATAATAAACAATTTCCGTGAACTCATCTACACTACTATTATAAAAAGAAAAGATTTGTATTTTTGTATGTTTGTAACGAATAAACTCAAAAACTACTGGCCCGATAGAGACGAAATTTCGTAAGAAGATAGTTTGAGACCCTGGGAAGGATATAGGATATTTTTTATTCCGGAAATCAACCCTCAGAGGGTGAAAATTAGATTAAAATTTGCATGCGACTCACCCTCGCTTCGCTCGAGTTCGTTCCTAGGTTGATTCCCCATATAATTATATAAATATGTATAATATATAAATATTATTATATTTATTTTATTTTAATGATAATACATATACCTACAATAATAGTAAAAATCAACTTTAGTATACATATATTTCACATATACTATATATTATATAAAATACATTATATGCCTATAAATAAAATACTTAAAAAAAAGAAATGTTTAATTAACACAGAAAAGCGTCCCGAGTTAAATAATTTATCCTTAATTTTAACCCGTAACAATATTTTTGCGGTAACTGTTAACACAGGCTGTTTCTTTTAATCTACGTTAGGTAGTCACTGGGACCCTTTTATCAAACTGGTGGATAGACATATTAGCAATGGTCACATGTCTCTACCAGCTGTTTTTAGAATTGATTACTTGAGTTTACAATATTTACACACTTCATACTTAACAGTAACAGTGTTCTAATTACTTCATCGTTTGTGGATACTTTAATCTTTACTTTAAACATGAATGAGATATTAAATGGTATTTGGTTGAGCACTTTTGGAGAGCTGAGAAAACGGTTATGTTTTTAAAATAATCTGCAAGCCAAGTTTCATGTTTCTATTGTTTTTAAGACATTTTAGTGGGAAAACATATTAAAAAAAAAATTGAATTAATATCGTTTTTCGTCTCGCATTTTTAAATTTTAACCGATAATTGTTGTTTAATATTGATTAATAACCAGTGTTTAATCGTTTTCATAAATCAGAAGAAAAAATGAGATTTAAATTGATACTTTTTTTAGATGTTACATTTTTGACTTATGTTGAAAAAAAACTAAAAAACATGATAAGTCAAAAATAGTTTACTTTTGCATAATGCATATGGGGGTTAATATTATAGCAAATTGTCACCCCTATCACCTCCTAACGGGATACGTCGAATTACCAATAACCCTATATAATATTTATAGAAAATACCATATTTTTCAAAAGACAATTTTTACTTTTACATTGAAAAGAAATTTGATGTAAATTCTTAAAATATTTTACAGCCACTCGAATTGTTGAATGCGATAGGTACACTTCGTAAATGTTTTACATTTTTCTCATAGCTCCAAAGCCTTTCATTACAATCGGCTCGGAAAACAAAGGCCTGTCGCTGGGCCGCAGTAAACAGGTAATTTTACTTTGAAACATTCAATTTGAATTCGTATTGAAAAGGTAAAAGTTTAATCGATTCAATCAGAATCGAATTTCGCTAAAGATTTGCATTCAATGAATGTAATTGAATCGGGACGACGATAAAGTTCGATAGAAAACGTTAAAAGTCGCGCTGCCTCCTTGAAAATTTCTCGACTTGTAAACCTACTTTTTATAAAACAGTCAGGTTACTATATTAAAATATAGGATAGAAATCTTCTTTGACCCGAATACATTTATTTTTAAAGAAATAGTATTTAAATCAAAAAATACTCGTATTAATTGAATATAAAAATATTTTTAATTCTTTTCTAACAATATGAAGACCAAATTATGTTTATTCATTACATTGGTTAGCTAATTATTATTATAATATTTGGCAGTTTGCACGCAAATTGCCTTCAGCTTCAAAAGGAACACAACTCGGCAACTCTTTGTTCCGGCTTTTAGCATTTGGCATTAGTGGTTTTTGTGAGATATTATAAACGTATACGTATACGTAAACGTATACATATTTGTTTGAATAACCATGATAGCTTACGTTATCACATTTGCGTGTTAAATAAAATAAAATTCTAATTTAATTAAAATTATTTCACATAAAAAAGAATCGGTCTGTTTTTAGTCTCGTGTCTCATAATCGGCCTATCTTTGGTT